TAATTAAGAGATTTCCCATTTACTTTTATGTAAGATGCATATATTGAAGTGCATTAATCTTTTTACAGATAGTACAATCTATTGCTTTTGTCATTTATATGTTCTTTGTAATTTGTCAATATTGCTGTTTCTTTTATAGTCAAATGAGAGAAAACTGTTCAGTACTCCCAAGTGTGAGATTGGCAAAACTCGTGTGTCATGTGAAAAGGGGAAATTTCCTCTACTCTTAGTGTGGGGAGAGTTCATCAGTGATTTATTAGTCTGTCAATGCCCAGAGAAGCTGAGACCCTCATGCCCAACCAGTGTGTCAGTGTCCTGTTATGGGGACTGTTCACCGAACAGTCTGCCTGAATTGGAGGGTAATTTGACTGCCCTTTTCAGGGGGCTAAGCCAACAGGGTAAGGGAGACCCCACAGTGGGTCTTCACACTTTATTAGAGTGTGTTACCCGCTGCCAGCGGCTGCCAACACCCATGAAGGACTCACAGTAACAGTTTATGGGAAAACGGTCTTACAAATAGAAAATCGTGACAGGTTAAGGTTCAGAGATTGCTAGTGATAGCATCTGACTGCAAAAAACATATTCAAAGCAATACACAGACAAGTTCTAGTCCCAGTAAAAGTATTCAGCATGCACAGTTGTTCTTACACAACAGGGTTCCCTACGAGGAGAGAAGACAGGTTCAGCCTATTGGCTGATTCCAGCAGTTACAGTGGAGTCTTCTGTAACTTTTCCCCCATTCTCAACTTACTTTTATACTATTTCTTTTTTTTTAGGTGGAGCTTGTTGTCATAAATACCTTTATTACTGATCGGTATAAAATTGTCTTACTTCATTTTTAAAGATAAGTAAAAAAAAAAATACAGAGTGCATGCCCAGTGGGCGGTGGTCATACTTGGAGGCAGGTAACTTTGGGATGGAGGTATGCACTAATATTACAATTAGGCTTTAATGAACCAAGTTCATCTGAGGAGAGAGATTTTGCCACAGTTGTTGGCTCAGCAGCAGGACATCTCCCACCTCCCTTGGTTGACAGGTGCTGTACCATTTGTCAGGTGCAAAGTACCATGTAGTTCCCTTCTCTGGAAGGATTTCCACAGAGCCTGGTTGTGGTGTCTTCACTCCACCCTCCGTTTTATCCCCCATAGCAGGTGCTTACTGTTGTATGGGGAATCATTGTGGAGCTGCCAACTGCTTTCCATCCAGAGAGCAGCAGCTGCATTTTACCCCGTAATTTCTGTACCATTAGAATTTCTGTTAAGATTTGATTATAACTTCTCAGTTTCCTCTAATTTTTACCTGCAACCATCTTCCCACACTGGTGTAAACAGGAATTATTGCCTCTCTGGTTTTAAGAATCAAACCTGGTGTATACACGTTGTATATACAATATTTGCTTCTCTTGAAATAGTATGAACTCTTGTCTATCACGTGCTTTTCTGGGGATGGCTCAGGGATGAAATATGCCATAATTCTTTTTTTTTTTATATAAATCTAGTATCTGTTACTTGTTACATTTTTGCACAAATCCTGCATTACATTCTTAGAAAACTTTCTGTATGGAGAGCATGAAGGGAAGAAAGGGTATTCATGATAGAAAAAGGGAGTTTGCCCATATAATTGAAATAGTTGTCAATTAAGTAATATTCCGGGTAGGAGATATTGTAAATAATGCGATGCACTGTAATGTATTTTGAAAGAAGGTAGCTTCTCTCTCTCTTAAAGTTTTATTCCAGGTCTAGTCCAGTGTGGTTTTCTGGAGTCCTGTCTGTCTTGTAAAACTAGAAGTAACATTTCAGTGGCCCTTTGAGCTGGTCTGACTTGGGGCCCTTGCAGTCTTATTGCCCCCTCGAGCCAGCACTGACTTCATGTTTTGGTTCAGGGAGAAGAACAGACTTGCTTGCAGGAGTGTTTAGTATCTACCTGGGCAAGCCCCAGGACTCATCTGACTCCCCAGCAGTGCTGGCTGGAGAGGTGACTGTGAAGCAGAGAGGGATAGGTCTGTGTGCAGCATGAGATGGGAGGGCAGAGCTCATGCAGCCCTGGAGGGAGGCTGGGAATCGGATCCAGCCTGGAAGTGCAAAATGGACACGTAGACATAGGAAAGCACCTCACAGTGTTATTGTATGTTCATAACATATTGCTTTTTGTTTCTGATAAAACTGTTACTGTCTTCTGTGCTAGTCTCTGGTGGCTGCTGAAGGTTCTGGTGTTTAATAGCAACATTTCAGTCAATTTAATGGAACTGACAGGAAAAAATTATGATATGAAAGAAACTAAATAAAAGAAGTAGAAGGCTGCTGCTTAGGAGGAGGATAAAAAGATGCATTTAAAAGAAACCTTTCTTAATCTTTACTTTGGCATAATTATACCTGTAAAAAGAAAATCAATAATATGCAACAGGCTAAGGACGCTGCCAGAGATTGGAAGGCATAGTTACATGGGCTAAACGGATCTCTTTAAAATAATCAAGCAGTTTGTGGGAGGGAGGAGTTTTCCACATAAAATTTGCATGTACATGAACTGCTCTGCTCCAGAGCTGTTTGTCTTGATGCTTTGCATAGATCTGAGTCTGCATTTTTATCTTTTTTTGCAAAGTTAAATCCTTTTAATTAGAAATCGGCTTGACCTGTGTTAGTTCCTGAAAAGATCTCTTTTGTATCATCTGACCCTACTGATCTGTATTTAATGTAATTCTTTCACTAGCTTATTATCCTTTAACCTCTGGAGCAATTTTTCATTGGTCTTTTAACTCCACACAATCATTAATGCTTGTTTTAATATGCCAGAAGACTTCCTATTTGTATTGTAGTCCTAATGCTTACTTAATCCCTCTTTTAGAATAGTTTTCTCTTTCCTCTTACTTGTCGTAAACAACTAAATCCTATATTGTTCTTAACTCTTTAGAACTAATTTACTTCCACTTCTATTATTTAAACTAATACATTTTTATGAAAGCTCTCTGTTCCTACTTACTTACTTACTTACTTTTAAGCCTGTTGACCAGTGCCAGCCAAAATTGATAAAGTTGTGTCAGCATCAAGGATATGAAATTTTTGCAGGTTTTATGAAATCATCAAGTTACCAGAGTGGGAATGACCCACACTGTTTCTGCTAATGGAAGATCTGCAGCATGATTTCAACTTACCTGCTCTGTTAGATGTGGCTTAAAGTGGCCAGCTGGTTGATGTACAGCTCTGAACCACTCCACCATTATGCTGCTCTTGGATGAGCTGATAAGGAGCACAGCTGGGTTTTACAGCAGCACTGTGGGAGCTCAGGGCTGTGGCTAGAGGCATCCTGAGTTTGCAGTGCAGGCACAAAGTTGTGTAGGTTGTGTATGTGAGATAAAGTGATTCCCACCTGATCCTGAAGTACCCTAGCTGAATGATTCTTGAAATTGAGATCTGGAAAGCCATAAATTCCATGGAGCAGCCTTCAAATCATGTTAATCGGTGAAATTTTGAGTTAGAATGTGGTGTATATGCTGATTTACCCATGATTCCAGGGCTTGGTAGCAGTACGTTTGTTGAAGTTTAATGTCTTTTGGCATATTTTGTAAATAGATTTTTTAAGAAGGAAAAATCTAGAAGGAGAATGTATGTGTAATCTTTGCTTACATCAAAGCATCTCTGCTTTGAAAAAATAAAATAGCAGTTTTCAGTTTCAAGTTGTTTACTTTGGGGTTTTTTTGTTTTGTTTTGTTTTGTTTTTAAGGAGGAGAGATTCGGGATTGTGCTTCTTTTTTCCCAGTGCGTTTTCTAAAAGGTGGTTCAGGTTGTCCGGGGGAAATAGACGTTATTGGTTGTTGGCATTCCAGGGGAGCTTGAAGTAGACCAGCATATTGTCTTATGCATTGCCTTCTTCACTGAATTTCAGGGGTAATTCATGTTGTTGACAGCTATGTCAACATGTGAAAAGGAAGGACAGGAACTAAACAAAAGGCAAGTAATAGAAGAGTCAAGAAAGTGAGAAGTGAACACTTCTTTAGTAAATTTTCTTTCTGTGATAGGTAAGAGGGGCAAATAGTGCAGCCTGTCCTTATCTGTTAAAAGTGCCACCTTGTTGGAAACGTTCAAAGAGAGCTGTTTGTACGTGTGTGTGTTTAAGTATGGGAAACAAGCAACTGACCCGAGAAACACATATGGTGGATTTGTATAGAGGCATACAAAAGTCTCCATTTGTTTAATTATTTACCCTACTTTAAGCTTATGCTTCCAAAAACTCTGAAGCGTGGTCTTGCTTGTACCCATGGCAAACACTGAATATGTGGTTTGTCTGCCTGGCAGTGTGAGGCATCGTGTTAGTTGTTGTTTGAGCTGTCTTCTGCAATAGAAGAGTCACATCTGTTGGTTCAGAGATTACCACAGCATGTAATCCTGTGATAAACTAACTGGCAACTCCAGTACAGGCTGTGGAAGAAACATTTATTCTATTTTGAGACATGCTTAGTCATCCCTGTTTTGGCCTCTTAACAGGTTGCAGGCATTACTCCTTATTCTCTCCTATTAAAGCTGATGAACAAGTTAATCGTAATCAGAAGACCAGTTTGTGAGAAATGGTTTGTGTTACTGGAGGATGTGAATTCATAGCCCAAGTGTGTTGTGTACTGTCAGTGGAAACCGGAGAATAAGCTCCACATTTTGTTGTGTGTTGGTAAACCTCACAGTTTACATCATGCAGGTATGGAGCGGCTGCTAAATATGAGACCAGCACATGTAAGAGGACCTTTATTAGTAGGGAATATGATACAACCCTTCTGTGTCCTGTAGCCAACATTCAGCTATAAATGTTTCTTCACTGTTGTAAATAGAAAACTTTAGGGACTTACCTTGAATTTAACTTTTTTTAATTGTTAAACATATTTATTTGATAGTTTTACTTGTGTTGGTGTAGGCTGTGTAAAACACACTAGTATCCTTAATTAATAGTATGTTTTGTGTTGATTTTTTTAACTAGCTTAACAGTATGCAGATCTAGTACATTTTGTGTTTAATGGAATTATTACTTAAGTGAAAAAAATTTTCTCTCTTCAGAAGTAAAATGCTTTCTATGAGAACTTCTGATGCCAAGACTCTTTTGAAGACTTACTTTGTTGCATGGCTTAAAGGCAGATGATGTTGTTAATGAATTCTGAGCATCCTTCAGGAGACTGGTGACCCTTCTATCATTGATATATGCTGTCATGGACAACTTCAAATGGTAAAGATGATATTTTTGTGAGTCTTTCTCAGATTAGTACTTTGACAGAGGAAGCAGTGCGTTAAGTTTTTGTTTTAGATTAACAGCCCAAAGCTTGTTTTTTTGACTCTTAAAACCATTCACAGTGCTCTTAAGAAAATGCTTTTCACAATCGTTTTAAGAAGCTGTATCTTCACAATGTGAAGTTCTGTCTTGAGATACTCTTTTACAGTTGTTTATGGCAAGAGCCACATTTAATTTCATACTTGATTTCATTTCCCTAAGTCAGTGCAAGTTTTTTTTCTCTTATAAATCCCTGGAAATAATGCTTAATTTAACCATTAGTTTTTTTCTTGCTTGGCTAATGTTTCTTCACAGTATTCTCTTCTTTTAAACACAGTAAATGGGAAGCCACACTTAGTAACCTCCAACTAAACAATTATCTTAAAATAAAATCTAATAGTTTGTTAGTATTTTAGTATAGTACTTTGTTTAAGAGGATATTAGAAAGAGCATAATTTGCTTTCCAAGAATGTTGTATCTGCTCACTATGTTTATTCATTCTGTTTTATCAGCTCTTTTCCAAAACACCACAAGCAGTTAACGCACCTTATAAAGGACTCCTGACTTTTTGATTCTTCCTAAGTCAAATCTAGATGTCACCAGTGTTTCCCATGTTAACAGTTCTGAGCATGTTTTACTATATGTGCCTTCGGCGCCGAGCTAGGACAGCGACGAGAGGAGAAATGAACAGTCGGAGGGCGATTGAATCAAACACCCGAGCCTTACCTATCAATGTTGAAATAGTTCAGTATGCCAAAGAAGTGCTGGATTTCAGCTCTCACTATGGCAGTGAAAACAGCATGTCATATACCATGTGGAATTTAGCAGGTATTCCAAACGTGTACCCTAGTTCTGGTGACTTTACTCAGACTGCTGTCTTTCGAACTTACGGGACCTGGTGGGATCGTTGCCCCAGCGCTCGGCTGCCGTTCAAGAGGACACCATCCACCTTCTGTAGCCAAGACTATGTGGAACTTGCTTTTGAAGAACCAGTTTATCCCACTGCAGTGCACATTCTGGAAACCTATCATCCTGGAGCTGTAGTCAGGATTTTAGCATGCTCTGCAAATCCTTACTCTCAAAATCCACCAGCTGAAGTAAGGTAATTTTTTTCTTTTCTTCCTTATGCTTTCCTGTAAGATGTTAAATGCTACACATAGTGCTGTTTAATGAAGTTTACTTCCTAGTATTTATCTGTTTTGCATCTGACCCACTAACATTTACTTTATTTCTACATGTTTTTAAAACTGTGGTGACATGTTTTGATAACAACTTCAGAGATGTGGATGTTTTGTAGGAATTATTGCAGCTCCTAATATCAAATTTAATTTGTGTAATGATAGTTTTTGTGTTGGAATTTTTATGAGCAATAATTATTATGTCTGTACAGAAACCACTTTTGAAATGGCAGGTCTGAGTTCTTCCTCCAATAAGAAAAGCAAATTGTGTGAAAGAAGCTGAGGATTCACGGTTGCTGTATCACCCTGCTTCAAGTAGCCATAAACTTTCTTCTCTGCATGCTTTAGGTTGCGTGTATAGTATAATCAGGCACTGTAACTATTCATATGGAAATGAGACTAAAACCAGAAGCACAGAACAGTCAGACAAAAGGTGATGCCATTTGTCAGATCTTTATTTTTGTTCTGATCAAAGGGTGTGAGCTGCACTTTGTTTTTACACTCACTGCATAGGCTAAAAGAAGCTGATTTGATCCTGTTGGTTTTCCTCATAGTAGAGTCCTGATGAAATTTTAGTTGGGGGGTCAGGAAGATGGTGACCTGGGGAGTGGTAATATAGTAAAATAAAACACTTTGTATGAGGTGTGAAGCTCTTAGTGAGGAGGTGAGGAAATAGAAATGGAAGGAGAAAGAGAACAGGTCAAAGTACATAGTGGGCAAAAGCATTGGGAAAAGCTATCAGTATATGCAATCAAAGTACTCCATATCAGAAGAGATTAAATGATACCAAAGCTATAAAGAAAGGGAGAGCTGATAGAAGAAAATGTATCCTGTAGAAAATAGTATGCCAACAAATACTCTATTATTTTGAAATGCACACTTTGGTGGTATAACCAGTATTAGCTTGGATGTTGGGTGTTTTTTCCTGCCTTGCCTTTTACAGATGCAGCTAAAAAGCATACCTGTAGGTTTAACTTAGTATCCCTTGCTTCCTAATACTAGGCCATTGGTGTTCATTCGAAAATTCTTGGAAAATTGAGTGTTATGTATTCAAAATTCCCAATTAGTATCTTTTGTATGATTCTGTCATATACTGTTCTTAAGAGCAGTTGTTTGTTTTACAAGTTTCTAGTGAGAATATTCTGTATAGCTCAAAAACATGAATTCAAAGAACAGTGATGAGTCAAACTAGTAATAATAGGCCACCTAACTTCAGAAGAATGAGTATGTTTGGCACTGTAACACAGAACTTATTTATAGAATATGTGGTGAAGGCAGCTTTTAAGACTTTCAAGTTTAGAACCTAGTGTGAAATAACTTTTGGGCAATTACTCTGTGAACTTTCTTTTCACTTTTTTATTTTATGATGTAGATTTTTACTTCTTTATGATGTAGCACAGAACTTATGTAGAGATTATTTCTGTAATTTGATCATATTGCATTAGGGTAATTGTAACATAGGGTGCTTCAGGGCATCACAAGGATATAGTTCTGATTGATAAGCTAATGCTATTTTATGTCTGTTTGGGTTTAGGTTCTTAAAATAGTACACCTCAATAAAGACCGAGAGGTGTTGGAGGAAAGCTCAAGAAATGTTAACTGAAGGAGCTACTTAGTAAGGTGCACTAAAAAAAAAAAAAAAAAAGAGAGAGAGAAAATTGTTCAGAGAGGTAAAAGGAGATGGAAGTGAAAATACTAATATAAAACTTCTGGGTATGCGCTTTATGACTCCTCTTGAGGTGTGATCAGTGAGAACTCAGACTCCCTTCTTCATGATAAAAGATGAAGCTTCTGTAGGACCCTGCTTTTTAATTTGTAGGCAAGAATACCTTCTGTCCTGCCTGCATAGTTTAACAACATTTCTGGTTAGAAAAAGGTTGTCTCAGTTATCCTTGGAACTCTGTGCTGCCTCTTCAGTTCTTGTTAGCCTTGATGCTAGAGAAGTGTTAGAGGGACTTCTTTTTTTTCTTTTCGCTTACCTTCCCTCAGCAGGACTTGTCTGTTCAGGGCTGCACATTCGGTTTGTCTCCTTTCTTCTAAAGGAGACAAACATGTCTTATACATATTGTCTTGAAGGGAAGATGAAGGGACCTTTTCTCCACATGAGGTATGCAATATTTTTTCTCTGTTCACTTGCTCACCTTTATGAGGGGAATCTGAAAAGTTGCAAGGGCGCGGTCTGTTTTCTTCTTCAGTTCTTGGTCCCTTGTTCTCACTTCCAAAAGTTCTCTGAGATGTCAGCTAAGAATTATTTTTTTTGAAGATGGAATGCTGCTGTAATCTCAGATGATTCCTTGTTTAGCTGATGTTTTGGTCTTGAAGAACTGGCATACTATTTTCTTCTGTTAAAAAAGGCCATGTCCTACTTACTCAAAAGGCACTTAGAACCTTGTTTTCCTCTTCTGACTCTTTTGATACTCGTTTTTAAATCACCTTATTACCAAAAAACCTCCCAGTGCTGCTTTGTTTTATCAGCTGACTACAGGTGTGTTTCTGAACACTGGTGTAGAAAGGGCAGGTGTAGTGAGTTGACCCTGGCCAGATGCCAGGTACCCACTAAAGCCACTCTGTCACTCCCCTCTGCAACTGGACAGTGGAGAGAAAAAAAACCAGCAAAGGATTCATGAGTTGAGATAAGAGCTGGGAGAGGTCACTTACTGATAATCTTCACGGGCAAAACAGATTAAAAGTGGGGATATTACTTAAATTTATTACTAACAGGATCAGAGCAAAAGAGTGAGAAGTAAAATAATCTGAAAAACACCTTCCCCCCACCCCTCCTTCCTTCCACGTCTTCCCTCCTCCCCCCCAGTGGTGCCGGAGGATGGGGAAAATGGGGGTTACACTCCACCATGGTCTGCACCACAGGCTGCAGCAGCCTCAGCTCTGGCATCTGGTGCACCTTCTCCCCCTCCTTCTGCACTGACCTTGGTATCTGCATTGTTGTTCCCATATTCTCACTCTGCTCTTCCCTGGCTGGAATTCTCCTTCAGTTCTTAAATATGTTATCACAGAGGCATTACTGTTACTCCTGACTGGCGAGGCAGGAAGTCCATCCTGGTGCCAGCTGGCATTGGCTCCATGGGACAGGGGAAGCTTCTAGCAGCTTCTAACAGAAGCCACTCCTGTAGCGCCCTTGCTACCAAAACCCAGCCACAGAAACCCACTACAGCAGGTCATTAGGAAGGTTCTTTTTTACCAGTTCCTGCTTTGATAAAAAAAGAAGGCCAAATTAATGGTGGACTCGATGTTGAGAGGAAAACATTTGAGATTTGCTTAAATGTTTAGTGGATTATACTAGTCCAACTAAGTAATCTTTTTTCTCTTTGTTTAATATTTAAAACATCAGCTCATCCAAGACTTTTCTATGTGCAAAAGCTTGCAGCCTACAAGAGGCTCTGTAAGGAGCTGGTGTACCGGAATACTTGCTCAAGAGGATTTTATATATTCTTGTTGAAAAATGGCTAACACCCATATGGTTGGCCCATGTGTTCACTTTATGCTCCAGTTGCATGGAAGAATGACTCATGCAGGTGTTCAGAAAGAGGTCTTTGGTCGTGTTTCTTTGTTGCTGGTGCACTGAATACGGCTATCACAGCTCTGTATGATGCTGGCTCAGGTGAACTTTATTCAGAGTGTTTGTAGAGATGGAGTCAGACCTTCATGGATGGGAATAAGCATGTATTTTTCAGAGGGCATGTAATTGTTTCTAAATGATGCTAATGCTTAAAACATGACAGGTAATTTGAAGTTTTTTCATTATGGTTTAACCAGCATCCAGCTGAGAATTTTCTGTCCTCTCATATTTTTGACTTCTTTAAAGACAGAAGGCACTACATCACTCTCCTTCACATAAAACAATTTTTAAAATTCATAAATGTCAGAGAAACTGCTGTTTTAACACATGGAGACCTTTTGCGCTTTTCTTTTGTACCACTCACACCTTGATTCGTGAGAAGTGTTTGGTAATTCCTTAAACTATACTAACATTCCATGTACAAATTTGTTACATGAATTATCAGAGTGCAGAAAGCCCAAGAAAAAAATAGTAGTGTGAGATTGAGGGAATATTGTAATATAAAATCTCGGTTTTTATGTGGGGAAGAAATCGATCCCTAATTTTGATTGTGTTGTGTTATGATTACCACTAATGTGGCCTTGATTTTATACTGTGGTGCACATTCTGTATGCTTAGGGTTTGGTGACAACGATGAGTTGTCACCAGACTTCAACTAGTGGAAGAGGCAGAGCTCTACAAAGGTGTGGTGGTAACAACAGCACCTGATACTGGCGTGAGCTGGCCCCAACCGAGAGCCTTGACTTTATTTCTCATAGTGGATTAGATTGATAGGTAAGATAAAGCTAGCTTCAGTGATGAGAAAAATTTTTTCTTTCCAGATATTTCAAATAACTGCCCTGTTCACATGAGCTTTTCAGAGATTTCTCAAGAATGACTGTTCCATGAACCCAGAATTCATTCTTCTATGACAGGCATCTGGACAAGAAAAAGCTGTTTCCCTGAAGATGTCAAAACAAGTTTTAAGTAAGGATGCAAATGCCTAGAAGTTAAGTTGTATGTTACACATAGGTGAGATACAGCCTTGAAGGTTCCTTATCACACTCTAATGTGTTGATGGTATCAGCAGTGTTTTGAATGTTTTGATCTGAGATTCACAGGGAATAAAAGGTAGAGTGAACGAACCATCTGAACCATCTGAATGCCACTGTCTACGAGTAAAAACTGATCATATTTTACATTCAGTGCACTGCCTTTCTGGTTTCACACCCTTTTTTTAGAAGGGGGAATAGTTTTTTTTGGTCAGACATTTTGATCCCTGTCCTGGCTGCCAGCAAACAAATCTGCAACATTCCCATCTGAATTAGCATTGTACTGCATAAATACAATGAACTTCCTAACTGAAGGAGAGGGAGCCTTTTACTTTGTCCATCTTCATTAGCCTACTCCTCTGTTTTGCAGCAGTTTCTGCCTCTACAGACTTCAAGACCTTCAGAAAGAGAAACTTTGTGTACAGCAAACACAATTAAGCTAGGAAACACTGAGCCACGCTCAATTTTCTAGCAAAATTCTAAATTACATGAAATAAAATAAATTAAATGGAAATAAATGGCAGGAACACACAAGGCAGAATGAAACTGCTTCCAGACAAATGACAAATGTTTCTCACCTGTGAGAAACAACCTAATCAGTGTTACATTTTATCTGTAGAAAACAAGAAAAAATTAGTCACAAGACCGTCTCTAACCTACTGAAGAGGTAATCATCACGTAGCAATAAGGATATACGCTATGAAACATCACCCCAAGCATGGCCACACATTCCAGACTAGTTAGGAATCTCTGGTTTTGAGCTTTTATAGAAGCACGTGAGTATACAGTGTCGCTGTAAAATATATGATATAAAAGAAACTGTCAAATTAAGTTAAAAAAAGACCGCAACAGAAAAACAAGATGAACTTTTTCTTTCATATTCCAAATTTAAATGGTAAAGTTATTTTTATAAAAGGAAAAAGTTGAAAAACTTCTGAAAAAATTTTTACTTGATAGCTCCCATTTAAACAATGTCTAACAACAGCTACCTATTAGGAATATCAAAATGTTTTAAAAGGGCTTACATTGAAGAAGCCATTAGGGAATCACCAAGAGTAAACCTTCTGGGTAAATAAGGAGGAAAAAGAAACAGGAAAGAAAAAATTTCTTTCTACACCAATCTCAATTTGACAATGCAAGAAATTTCATTAGATTGCAAGCAAAGTTTAATCTTGTCTTGCTAGGGAGAAATCTGATTACTTTTCCTAGAGTCTTTTCCAAAGACTCTCTCTTATTACATGCATTTCTTCAGAAGTAACCAGGTCTGCTCAGGCATCATCCTAGCCATTAAAAAACTTTCTAACAGCATTAGGACAACAAAAGTTAAGCAAGAATTAAAAATGTATTCTCATTTGACACAAACCTTGAAAATATGATTCTCAGCCTAGAAATCACTAGACTGTATTTTCCTTCCTGGCAAGGGAAGGGGAATGGGAATCCTTTTTTTTTTTTTTTTTCCCTCATAAGTGTATGGAGTCTTTAGTATCAGTGCAGAATGGGTTCCTGTCTATCTTCATGAGGCAGAGACAAATTTAATAGGAAAACCGAGTCCATTAAAGCTGAATGGAGAAACCCACGTAAAGTCCTCCTTTTCTTTAATCACTAGAGAAAATAATACAGATGTTGCTGGCTTTTACTCAGGCTTTGCATGGCACTGCAAAGACTGAGGCTTTCTAGCACAGTGCTGGTGAAACCTTCTTATCAAAGCACACTCATTGCAGCATCTTTGATCAGTTGTTACTGTATATCTGCAAGAGGTGACGACAGACGATGTGCTACCTGCAGTCATTTGATGCTGCTTGATTTTTTGAGAGCTACCTAATTAATTTGGTACAGGGAAAGGCTAGATTCCTTTGTCTTCTTTAACGTTATTTATTGAGGTTCAGTTTCTCTTTGTTTTGAGTTAAATAGTTCATTGAACACCTTAAGTTTGGAACAAATGCAGGCAACCTTATTAGGGAAGCTGATTTTGGTATGTACCCTCAAAACCGGGATTGACTGTAAAAATGCCTTTCTTATGAAAGATTTTTAAATGGGTAACCATAAAAAAACAATACTCCAGAAAAGAAGACATGCAGTTCTTACTGAGCCTCTTGGAAATTTAGATTTTTTTGATCCCTCTGTGAGTTCTTCAATCCCATTCAGATTATGTGCAACCCATTAAGTATCACGCTGGTGATTCTAGATGAAGAGGTCACTTCCAGTTGCAGTAATGGGTGTGTTGAGTATACCTACACTTGGGAAGAATCTACCAGCCCTGACTCAGAGTGATTGCTGTTGCTTGTTCTTGTGTGCAGTGCCACCAAGGCAGAGAAGAACATCAACCTGATTGACTTGAGGTTTTCCAGATAAACCAAGAGCTAACTCCTTTAAAGTTAGATTGGTGGGCTGTTGATGAGAAGAAGAATATGACAAGGACAGTGGAAAATTGTCACTGGTTTTGTTGTTCATCAGCATTTGGTATGTAATGTGGAATTTCACAAGACTGTAAAGTCATCCTATGTGTCTTTCATTTTCTCTAGTTTATTACAAAGACTGGAAAACAGATACTGCTTGCTGAAGTTGATTATTGAACTCCAGTTTGGTGAACCTAGATCTCCAGATGCATTATTTTTTTTCCAGAGCTTTACTACTGCTAGATAGTCCTCTCTTCAGGGTACCAAAGAGAAAGTCAGTAACTGAGACCCATTCTGTTAGAAGCTGATGGTCCAGCATGTGCTAAATTAGTGAAAAAATAGCCTTGAGTTTCCCTAAGGATGGCTTGAGTGGGTACCTGGAAGTGTCTAAGCAAAATTTCGGATGGTGATCTGGATGTGTCCAAGAAGCGTCACACATGCGTTGCCGACATTAAGTATTTGCTTAGAGAATTGACTTATGTGAGAGGGTGTGACAGTGGGACTACGTCTGTTATTTTGCCATGAGTTGGCATTAATTTCATAAATTAATGAAAACTTTTCTCATGACTAAGTCTGTCTTATGAAAACTGTTAATTTTAGGGTAGAATTGTCCACTCTCCTGCATAAGTACTTTCTGAGGTGCCACGTGTTCACGTCTTGCATGTTTGTTTTTAGTTCATGACTATTTTTTTGACATAAGACTTCTGGAAACCTCTCATTCTACTATAAGGTACTTAGAGAGCAGCTTGATGTAGGTTAGGAAAATTTATCTGTGTATACCTGAAAATGTCAGTTGTGAAATGGAAGTTTAAGCCAATATGGATTAATTTCCCTATTTTTTTCCTAATTAATTTTCCTAATTTTCCTAGTAACAAATATCAAACTTCTGCACCTTATACCATGTGCAGTGTTTTAATGAAAGTCCACCTTACTTTCTGTCATGATGGAAAAAGTTTAAGCAATTTGTTCTGCAAATAAAGCATGTTTGATTTTATTTTATTTTTTATATGATATTCCTCTCCACTCCCTCACCTCGCCTCTGCATGGAAACTGGTAGGAAAAGCCAAGATGCTGAGATACTGGGGAAGCAGATAGAGTGCTTCTGAGATGCATGTGCCAGGACAAGTAGTCTGAGAGAAATTTTTGAAGCTGGGACTAGGGTGATCAAAAAGAGATGCAATATGGAATAAGATGTGGAAGTCTGTAGATTGGTATCGAGGTAAGCATACTGTCAGAGAGAGTAGCAACAATGACTGCTAGAGGCTTCCTTCTTTAGGATTTAACTAGACTCAAGGGAGGAAAAACATGGGTGTCAGTGACTGAAGGATTTCCATTCACTGGATGAGGACTCATGCGGATATAAAGAGCACGTTTCTGTTTTCAGGCCTTTTGGCAAGTTTGGAAGAGCTGAAGACCTAAGGAATGTAAGACTTGATTCTTCCAGATTACTGAGCTGGAGACAGGTTTCCCTGTCACTTACTGGAGGAAATTTGAGGACTGTGTGTGCAAGTAAAGATGTATGTACAGTAATTTTATGCATGCCCTGAACCTCCTGTCACTGGACCAAGAAGGAGAAAAACTTCTCAATTTTGCAGTTTTGAAATTCTAGCGTTTTTTGTAAAGGACCCTTTAAAAAAGGACTTGAAGATTCTACTTTCTTTGCTAATTTGACAGTGAACTACTTTTAAAAGGAATATTTTGCTTGTCTAGACAGGTAAACAAAGTAAAGTTTAGATTATTTTTTTAGTAACTTGCAATACTGTAATTTAGACAGGCTTGATGTTAAAGAGTGAGCTGTGGGGTTTGGGTTTTTTTTGTTTTGTTTTGTGGAAAATAAGAGAGATCAGATGACTGTATGTTGGGGTTACATGGCAAGACTGTTCCTTGTATACTTAGATTACCATGTCATCATTGTGAAGACATCTGTAATCCATTTGTTATGATTATCTTACCTGTGAGATGTTAGAAAAACTTGTGCACCAGTAATAGTAACAAGTGTGTGACTATGAGTCTACAACTTGTTTTGTTATTTAACAATGCAGAAAAAACATGCTAAGGTCATGAGTTAGTGTGCTCTGTTAAATTCATCCTTAGGATATTTATAAAATCTAGGGAAAACATAAATTTTGTTCTCTTTTTAACCATGTTTCTCACTTGTTAAATACTTCTGACAGAAGAAACTGCCCTCTTACTGTGTTAAGGAATTGCTTTAGTAACTTTGATTTTAATCCCTATACTGTATGTGTGTGTGTAATTTTTTTTCACAGATGGGAAATACTTTGGTCTGAGGCACCTACAAAGGTGAATGGTCCTCAGGCTCGGCAGTTCACACCTTGTATCAAACAGATAAACTTTCCTACAAACTTAATCCGACTGGAAGTGAACAGCTCTCTTCTGGACTATTACACTGAACTGGATGCAGTAGTGCTACATGGTGTGAAAGAGAGACCTGTGCTTTCACTAAAGACTTCAATGATTGATATGAATGATATAGATGAAGATGAGGATGAAGAAAAGTATGGCTGTGGAATGGACACCCTTAATAAACAGTTCAGCATCGTTACCCTCAGGGAATGGCCAACTAACGGATATTTTGATAAACTGCCTTATGAGGTAAGAAAAGAATGTTTATACTCAATCATTGTCTTGATCATTAAGGGTGCAAAGGTGCTTTACAGGGTATCGGTTGAGACTGGTTACAGTTCCTTGCGAATCCCTGTGAATTCCTTGTGAATTTCCTGCGGTTATTGTATAGGTATGCCTGAATTACGTAAGTCTATCTACTTCCATGGATGGATGATAGGTATTTGCATAGTTACTGCACTGTTATTGTTCAAGAATCTGTGCATTCACACACAGTTTTTACACCATTTATTCTTGCCTTGAATTTCCAACTCTTGAACTTGGACGTTTCTAGCAGTTTTCCAATAGTTTTTAGTCCTCATGCTTGACAAACAAAATATACGAAAGAGATACGAAAAGGTTGAATCAACATCTGAAAGTGGAAATAGTTTTTAAGAGGCTAAAAGTTTGTTTTCTTGTTCTTTCTCGTACAAAACTTACAGAACTTTGTTCTAGGGACTGCCATTATGTTTTCGTATTATTATGAAATAAGCTTCTTCCAGCCAGCTAAGTTTTGAATCGAGGTGCAGGTAAAATGTCTTATAGATGGACTTCTGTACACTGTCTTGTTTCAATGCTTGCTACTTTTTGTTCTATCATTAGCACAGAAAACAGTTATGAGTAAACTCCTTTCAGATCCCCTGGAAGCATGGCAGTTGTGATTGTGCTCAGAGTCAGTAGATAAATATTTTCTTTCCTGTAATTTCCAGTGTAATGAGATTCTGGAGTATGATTACTGAATACTGTGTGCAGGCCAGGCCATTCTCAGTGGGATGTAGCTGTTTATGGAGGCTGGTATCCTGGTTAGTGTAAGAATTGAGAGACAAAACAATTATCTTCACCTCTCCTGAAATAAACTGTTTGCACATGGTAGAAAGGAACCTCTACTTGCCGGTCAGACCTCTGGGCTTGGGCAGAGACAAGTTTGTTCCTGCTCTTCAGTGTGCTGCAGTGTGCCAAAAGCAGCAAGTGTTTATTTACTGTGGTAGCTCATCCAATGCTCAGCGTGCTCCTCACTTGAACTAGACTTGCTTTTGTAGGTGAAGGGAGTGTGGTGAGATGCTGCCGATGATTGAAGGGCACTTGCAGAAATATCTGTTCAAATCAAATACTGTTTTGGTTTTATGACATCTTTTGTCTCTAAGTACCCCAGTTTGAGACGTGAAGGCCATGGTTGAGTGACCACGTGTCCTAGTAACCTACAGAAGTTTTCTGTGCTTGTAAAGAGGAAAGAGAAGGGAAGAGAATGTAACAACTCTTGTCTTTCTTCTCTTGAAATGACACTTCTTGAGTTTGGTTTGGGTCTTTTTTGTTGTTGCTGCAGTGGAATAATAAATGAGGATACTAACTTCATCCTGAGTTAGCTCTAGTGGTGGTTTGGTTTTGATTTTTTTCCCTAGAGCCAGTGTATTGTTTAACGTATTTTACTGTTGGTGCTTGAATATCAGTACTTTGCGTAACTATTTGCAAATATGTTGGTTTTAGTAATTCAAAGAAATTAATTGTAGATAAAACTTCATTTAAATATAGGAATTTTTCTTGTTTGAAAAGGCTGGATAAATTGATTTGTAGTACAGTAGAATACCAGAGAGATTCATCAATCTCTTTACTGTTTCATGTGATCACAGAATCATTAAGGTTGAAAAAGACTTCTAAGATCGTCAAATCCAACCATAAATGGTTGATTATACATATTAAAATTTTAATTTAGGAAATGTTTGTGTGGTCTTGTTACTCTTATGAACTTCTGTCTTCATGTACTTTTTTGTATTTTTGTACTTTCCTGTTTGTCTACCAGCTTCCTTTTTTAATCCGTTTTTTAACATGTTTGGTTCATGAATAAGTTTATATGGTCTATCAATATCAAGAACATTCTTTTTTCTTCTGCCTTGATTTAAAGAAACTGAAAATATGGGTGGAATATTTGTCAGAAAACTAGAAAAGACTGTTTCTGGACTGGTTTTGTGACAGCAGTAATCCCTGTCTACTTCTTTCTAGTCCAGCTGGAAGGTTTGGGCATCAGAAAACCAAAAAAGTTGTACTTTGGAGTGTGACAGTTTTTTATCATATTGGATATGGGAACAATGCTCTGCATGCTGTCTTCAAGACTGACAAGTGTCAGAGTTTGCTGGGTACTGTTTGAACTGTGTAAGAATGAAGTAAGGCAACTGCTGACTCCTTCCCGTTTTCATTTATACAGTATATGAAAAATTGTATCTCTTTGTAAGGGCATATTGATTGTCAATGTGTAGCTGTCCTAAGTCTTCATACATATGCCTGTTCTTTATTTGAGTCGTTTTGAGGCTTTTTCATACTACTCTCTGTAATTCACAAAATGCACAGGCTGAGTGGGTTGTGCTAAGTAGGCAGCAGTTCCTCCAGTCTTTGTTTTGCCTTTTTTGTCTTTCTGAAATTCCATAGACTATCCTTTCATAGACTGTGGTGTTCCTCAAAATGGCATTAGGAATGGCTTGATGCACTGTGAGCTCAAAAATCACTGTAAGAATTCTAGAGAAACATTATGGACTGTTCCTGCCAAAAAGCTGAGAAAAATGCTTGACTCACAGGCACTGACTTCTGTAGAAAAAAGTGTGAATTCTTGGATGACCTAGGTGAGAGAATTTTTCTTCCCTGGTCATGGATGGTGTTAACCAGCCCTAAATAGCTGTGAAGTACTTGTACTATCTATCATCTCCTCTCCAGAACTACGTTAAAATTGAGAAAGAATTTTATAGGAGACACTTCATAAAAGACACTTGTCTTTCTTCTCAGTTGTTTGACTAATTTGTGCAGCATGTAAAGTGGGAGTACGGCCTTAGTCTTAGTTGGCTTTGCAGAAATGCTTGAGACCTGAAGGCCTGAACAAATTCAAAGCCTTTGGGAAAGGTGAAGAATACCTGCCACAGCATACATCTTGTGCAGTTTGGGACTCACCAAGATGTGCCAAGTACCAAAAACCCAACTTTTGTTCTCCGGAAGAGAGTCAGGAGAAATCCTGCATGCTGAAGTCCAAAATATTTTTTTATATAAATGTTGATATAAAAAGATACAAATGACATCTTAGTCATTCCTTGAAGCTAATTTTTCCAACAGCTGCCTATAAGAATTATGAGCTGTTTGTGTCTGCTGGGGAAGTGAATTTCACTGTTAAATGAGGATTTGGCACCTCTGTTCTCCGAAATGGGTCCCAAAAGTAAGATCTGCATCCCGTAAATGGTACTTAGATAAAAGAATCAGCAATAAGCAAGAGCATTTTTAAGTGCAATACACTTTTTTCCCTCAACAATAAACTTCTTGCATCTTTTCAGAACAAACTGTTGTAGACTTCCAAGATTTTATGCCTTTCTTTGCAAAGGGAAATTCATGAGGTTCTTAAAAGTTGTCCTAACAGCTGATGACCATATGTCACAAGATTCCTTTCAGCTGATAGCCAATATACTGCCAGTTGCTGTAGCAGATTAGACTGAGTAGTGGCACGTGGAGAAGATCGCTCCAACTTTAGTCTTCCTGGAGTCTCAGTTGTTTGATTGTGCAATCTGCCAGTAAAGTCCATCTCTGTTCTTTGGATCAAGAAGGGTCTTAAAACTTTTACAGCCTTCCACTGCTGAAAGGATCAGAGCCTGTGGCCTGGTGATGTAAAATCAACTCCACTAAAGCACATTATGTGAGTAGAATAAAGAAAAAAGAGACTTAAATGGTTGTGTTTTGTGAAGCAGTTGCAAGATCCACTTTTCAGGTGTTCACGTGCAGCATTGAATGTGCATGCATTTGCTGGTGCAAGCCATACGATTGTGGAACCAGGGTTCTGTGTTTTCTTAAACTATGTTGAGAAAGGTCAAAAGGTCTAGAATACCATCTTCTCCTTCCTGCCTTTTCCTCTTTGTGCACATATCCTTTGTCCTTTATCTGAGCATGTTTTAGTATCAATTCTAATTAGTGTCCAAGCTGTTGTAGCAGCTCCGGCTGCAGAATGAAAAAATTGCAAGTCATTCATTTGTGTGCTTCTGAATGAGTGGTGTGCATAAGTCTGTCTATTTTTGTATTGTAAAATCATTTCATCTTCACATTGGAGAACTGAAAAAGGAAATTCGTAGAAAGTGCAGATATTGTAGATTTGATCGTCATCCAGGGATTCTTTTCTGACCAAGTCAAGTTCTGCATTATTGTGCTCTAGCCACGGAAAGTATTTTATTAGGTACAAATGGTTGTTGCTTGCTGTTATTCAGCAAAAAAGCTTTAAAATGCTAGAGAAGCTTTTGGTTCAGTAAGTGTTATAAGGAACTACACCATCAGTAAAATTTTACTGTGTGTACTGAAGAGTGGAGATCCTCTCTGAGCTTTTAAGCAGCTTTGGAATGGGTAAGATGTCATTTTTTTTTCTCGTGTTATATTTGTAACTGATATTCAAAAAATGTGCATATATGTGAGATGCTGCAATCAAGCACTATGGCGATGATAAAACACACATGGGTTGGGTATGAATCAGGATCCTTTCTGTGCTTAGCACACAATGATTTTGTTTACTGCTGTTTGTTGAATTGTTGTGGATAATTATGATTTGGAAACCTCCAGTTTCTGGAGTTTCTCACGGTAGTGGCCATTGATGTCACCACATGTTTAAAGCTGGCGTGTGCCATGTTTGCCCTGGAAATGGGAGAGAAAGTACTTTTGTACTTTAAGTCCGTCATAACCTGAAAAGGCAATCAGTGTTGTATAAATTATGTTTTGTGTTCCTTTTTATACTTCCTTTTGTTGTTTTTCCAATAAACTTTGTTTTTATGGATCGATTTTATAAGAAATTGTGAAATGATAAGATTGTCATATTTTTTCATAAAGGCAGAGTAAAAACTGTTTGTAAGAAACTGCATTATGAAATGAATTTTCAAAGCAGACAGTCAGTTCTGTAGCATTCTTGGAATTGCCATAAACACAGCCTAGCACAGTACAGCCTATCGTGTCACATACTCATGGTATCAAATTGTATGTTATGCTAGGATACACATACATAAAAATCAGATTTCTGACAGACACCAGACTCCAGGGTAATGGCAATTAATGGTTATGAGCCCGCACGTTTGGAACTTGTTACCCTTTTTTAATCAAGAGCCAGAAAAAGAACTCTTTATAACGTAGTGTCATAGTAGTGACATTTCATTGTATGTTTTCATTCTAGATGTTATGAAGTAGCATAATTTCAGTAAAAAATAAAGACAGGGTTTTTTTTTTTTTTCTGATTGAGACCTTTTTGTGTGGTGAGAGTTCTCATCTCACATGTGGAAAGATTGCAACAATCCTGTATGTTATGAAATACTCATTGAAGTCGTCAGTTAGTGTAAAGGGACATTGTTGAGGCATTTATAGTTTCATTCACCATTATCTGTACTGCTTGGGAGTTACAAAAAGACTTTTTTCTCATTGAAAAAAATTTGTGTTACTTTGCTTTTATCAGACATTATTATGTCACATTAATTGTAGACATAAATTCAGCTAACTGTGCAGCCTTTGCTGAGCTTTCAGCTCTAGAATTCTTAGTATGTAACACAGGAGAAAAGTCTGAGGGAAAAGGCAGTAATAAAATAGGTATTTCGGTGGCTTGCAGAGTGTGGAATGGCTGAAAGGTTGCAAAATAGTTTGAAGCTGTCTTTCAGAATATCGAAAATTATTTGAAGTGAATTGATGATCTTAGAAAAAATAGGTATACGTTTAAGTATCTACTGTTTAGAATGATGAACAAAACTGTGTTAAGCAACTTTAAAGCTTAAGTATGGGACTGAGCCAAGGAAAAATCAAGATACTAACTTGGGATTATATCTATGTTAGCTGCTAGTTATTTTGGTCTTTCTCAGATTCCAAAATGTCAACAACCTAAATGTCAGTTGGGTGCAAACTTTGTTGATTATCATATATTAACTGCAGTGCATATATATATTACTGTTACATTGAAATGGCTCTGCAGGTCCTCTGCATCAATTTGAGTCTTAGTTCCAGACACCTGCAGAAACAAAAAAACTGGGCTGTTTTTAGGGGAAAGGAAGAACAAGGAGAAGGGAAGAGGGGAGGCTGGAAATCAAGCATGAGAGAAGCTGAAGTATATCAAACACTTTATTTTGGCATTGGAGTTGAAGTTAAATTTTTTAAGAGTCGTAGATCATGTTTGAAATCCAAATGCTAAATCTGGAGCTGAGTAGGAAGTAACATTTTCCATTTTGCAGGAAGTTGAATTGTTTTCTTATTTCTTCTCTTCCAAAAATGAAGCGAGGAGGAGGGGAGGTGGAAGGTAGCTGCATCATAAACTAGTACACTGGAAGTACAATCTGTTTGGATCTCACGAAAAGCTCCATTTTTGTTTTATGTCAAGCATTTTATTCTGATTTTTGGCGGATTTGTTTTATGAATCCTTCTAAAACATTAAAATGAAACATGTTGGTATTTTGAAAGGACTAAAGGATTTTCTTCAGTTTAAGTTGATTTGCGGGTGGTTTTGGTTTTTTAATTTACACTGATTCATTTCAACAAGTTATTGTTTCCCACTCTGCTTGAAAACAGTCAATTTTACTTATATAACTTGAGTGCAGGTACTTATATCTGTTAGAGACAACCCTGATAAAGTAGCCATTAATTTTTAGATTTCATTTTTCAAGTCCATTTTCTCTCAGTTCCTAAGTTAAAGGAGATTTTTTTTTTTGTGTGGGGGGGTGTTATTTCCTAAAGTGAGTATTTATGTCTCTCTGTGTGTTGATTTTTCTTTAGAAAGGAAAACAGAGTGTGATAAGAGAGGAGGGATATTTCTTAGTTTCTGAGTGTGAGATAAGTCATTACAAAAACATTTATAGTGATGCTAGTCAGAAGGGCTGGTGGTTATTCTGAAACTCAGATGATTCAACTGATACAGATAAAAAGGGGGTTTTGCCTTTCAGATTTTACTCTAGCGTAGAACAAAAATGCTCTCAAGTATTACAGCAAGGAAGAGATTATGTTGTAAAAGAAGATAGGAATATGTTAAATTTTTTACCTGGTTGCATAATTCAGAGGAGAGGATATAAAATAGAAGACAAAACACTGATTTTTTAAATCAGGGAGAAGAGGAATAAATCTGAAATCAGTTCAAGGTGTGGGGAAACTGGGACATGGTATGGTTTTCCGTGTACTTTGCAAATATGCTCCCATCTGAAAAACCAAATCCAGAGAAGAAAGAGGATGCCAGTTCTGTGTTCTGATCAAGGGCAGGGCAGATATTGTGAAAGGAAATATGTAAATATAGTGTTTACATATATATCACTGTTTAAATTAGCAAGGGTAAAAAAATTTTTAATTTGAAAGCTTCCTGTCACTTTCATATGCTGATTTGCTTTTTCCTTTCTTGTTTAGTATGTTGTCAAATTGAAAAGGCAGTGCAGTCCGATTTAATAGTTAATCAATGATTTTTTTGAAAAGTTACTTTTAACTAAAAGGTTTTACTTTTCCTTGAAGTTAGAACATGTTTTCTTATTCCTTTACAGTTTTCCCTTAACACCTCAAGTGCTATATGACCACCAGTGACTTTTTTTTCTGTTTTTAATATAGCTCATCCAGTTGATTTTGAGTCACCTTACAGTACCAGACCTGTGTAGACTAGCACAAACTTGTAAGCTACTCTATCAACATTGCTGTGATCCTCTACAGTACATTCATCTCAGTTTACAACCTTACTGGGCAAGGATTAATGACACATCTCTGGAATACCTACAGTCTCGCTGCACTCTCATCCAATGGCTGAATTTATCTTGGACTGGAAACAGGGGAGCCATCTCTGTTTCTGGATTTAGCAGGTCAGTGTTAAATGTACAGAAGTGTTTTGACAAACTCCGTTTGCAGAGCTGCTGTACAGTAGTTTCACTGAGTATTTGAAACCTTATTAGAAGACAAATTATTTACTATAAAGGGGGGGGATTGTTATGATGTAGAAAAAGACATCATTTAAAACAGTAATAGATACTGAACGCAGCAGCAGAAGTCCGTTTCAGTACGTAGAGTCTGCGTGTTCCAAGCTGGTTGTGACTGAAAGGCTTCTTCCAGGGGGCGCAGTGTTTTGCTTTCTTCTGGGCTTCTAAAACACTCTACTGAAACTGAGCTGTCAAAAATCCATCTCAAGAGGCAAACGTTTGTGATTGTTCTTTGTACAGATGAGTCATCAGTAGGACTGTATTAGAACAGCTGTAGTAGTAAACTGATTGCATGCTTGCATGGTATGAGCCAAGTGATCACTAGAGTCCAATGTAAATGCAAATATTTTCATAAAAATGATTTAAAACATTAGTCCTCTTGGAAAACAGGGGGGTTGCATGTGCATATTCTATTGAGTTGAAAATATGACTGCTGTAGGTCATTAAAATAGCAAATTTGCAGGGATTCTTCTCTGTATAACAACCATGTTCTCTGCTTTCTTTAAGATATCATTTCTTGCTTCTTTGCTCATTAGCATTAGTTAAACAGCTTCTATCAATGCATTTCATTTAAGCAAAAATGGCCCCTTCAACTAAGGGGTAATCAGCAATGTCAGGTGAAAGCAGAAATGGACTGATAAGAAACAGACATGTTTAATATATCTGAAAAAGTTATCTTAACTTGTCTGAATAAAAATATTAAATCAAGTATGCAGACATTTTCTTTCCTTTTGTGCCTGAGTGCCTTACCTGAGGAAGTAAAATATTTTTAAGAAATACTTTGTCAACATGAGAATGTTGCTTCTGTTTTTCCTGACCTTCCAGTATAATCCAAGAAACCTATGCTCTTTTGTGCCTGTTGGTAGAAAACGCAAATAAACATCAGCTAATTGTTGAATGGGGTACAAACATTTCTTCTAAATTTGGATTTCATATTAGATACATTATGCAGAGGATAAATATGCAAGCTTTAATTGAGAATTCAACTCTGAAATCATGAAGTGCTTGCTTTCTGATGCTTAGCTATTAAGTCTGTCTTCTGAAAACGTATGTGCATCTTCGTGGCAGCCTTTTTTCTTTTTCATGAATTTGGTTTTTTTAACAGAGTACTGCTAAGAATTTTTGTAGTCTCGAAAGAAATTATTGCCAAATTTAAAGCATTATAAACTGTATAGTTCTGGTATTTCTGGCTTCCAGTTAGTTGAAAATAGCTTTATTGCTAATTACTTTTTTTTTTACTTCAATGCTTAACTAATAGTAGCACTTATGTGTATTCAGCATTTCTAAAATAATACATATTCATTATTTGACTCTTAATAATCTGTGAATAAACATGTTTAGTTTATATTTGTTATAAGGGATTATATTTATTTGTAACAAGGGGGGAAATGTTTTTGGACATTGATGCAATTCTGAAGTTATCTGCAGTTTTAGGAAAAAGTATTTCTTGGAAGAGGTGCATGCAGTCTGGGAATGGGAGATGCAGTTCAATCGTAAATTTCTGAAGAAAAGTTATAAACCACATAATTTTCATGTCTAAGTTCTGCTTATAATTTCCCCTTCTGAAACAAAACTTATCTACTGTAACTAGGTCTGGTTTTATATATTTTCTTTTTTCTGTTGCAGAAATAATTTTACAACTCTTTGTTCTGTAAAAGTGTCTTTTCTAGTAAAATTTCCCAGCACAGGTTTTTCTTTTGACATTCTTCATCAGCATATTTGACAAATTTTCTGGCCTTCAGGAGAGGAAAATTTGCTACTCATTTGCTATGAAAATATCTAGTAATAGAGGAGTCTTACTAGAATAAGACTTGCTTTTCAAAAGTGTTAAGGTAACTTTTGTCAAAAAAGTAGCTTCCTGGTAAGAGATACTGTTCCTTGGCAGATAAGTCTGTCAATAAATGACAGTTCTATTGCCCTGGCTGTCATTAAGGTACAACCACCTTGGGTATATTACAGCATCCAGAACACATAACCATGAATTCCCACAATTTTTCCTTTTGTCCAAAACCAGGACATCTGTATTTCTGTGTTTCTGTCAGCATTTGGTGTTACGGTTGGCACTGTTGAATTCAAAACTTTACAGTTTGTTATGATTTCTACAAGTCAGGACATGTTTAAGTGCTACTCTTGCTCAAATCTTATTTTGGAAAATATCTTTCAAAAACGTTTTTATCTGTAATTTCTTATGACAGTCTTAAAAGTAGTAGCTTGTATAAATTTGTGTGTTGCTTTAAAATGTTCATATATGCATGAAATTATTGAAAATATATATTTTCTTATAAAATGTATTGAAGTGGAAAGTTTTTTAAAGAGTAATTTTAAAAAATGTAACTGAAGCAAATACTGTATTATCATGAGAAGACAGAATGCTTCAGGCATATGAACATCCTGAGGCAAAGCTGAAGGTATTTTAACTTATTGATAACATCTACTCCTTAGGGCTAAAAATTACTATCATAAATTTTTCACTTTGGCATATAATATAAATTAACTAAACTTTATATTAGATTGAAATGAAAGTGTACCAAAAAGTGAAAGACAAATGAAATGAGTATCTGAGCAGTCTCAAGAGTCTGGAATGCAAAATGACTGGGATTAAGGAAAGATTTCACAGCAATCATTACATAAGCAGCTCTGCACTTCTCTTGGCTTTAAAGGTGTGGTGGATCTCTTCGTGCCAAGTGGGAATATCAGTGTGGGAGGGTAAGACCTATGTAAGAAGAGTGAGACAAGTCAAACTGGAGGTGTACTAAATATCGAGATGTTGAATAAATACTCTGAGGTTTAAACAGCTGAAGGACAGTGACAGTTTAAAAACAAGAGTTCTGTATGCAGATTTCTTTGGATCACTGATAATGCCGTTAACTTGTTTAAATTCTTCTGCTTTAAATATCTGAGGTATTAAGATTTTTATTTACATCTGACATTTTATACTGTGAAAATGAATTAATAGTGTTTTATTTTCAGGTTAGTGGTGCAGTGTTTGCATGTCAAGCACATCCAGGAATATTTCTTTAACAATTTTGTTGTTGTTCATATTTGAAGGCTTTAGTTGCTTTTAGTAGAAGTGTAGTTCAACAGTGTTTAGCTTGGCGAGACTTTGCTACAAATCAGACAAGCACGAAGGTCAGAGAAATTACTGAAATATGCAGCAAATAGTCACAGAAAATAGGAGTAATGTGGCTTTACAGGGATTCTCAGTTTAAAAATCATGTCTTATCTCTTGCTTTAGTTTCCACGGGTTTTTAGTAAAACTAGGGTTACTGTAACTGACATTAAGTAATAATGTTTGTTTTGCATTTTTTTTCTTGAAATAATTTAATCTGTGTTGAGAAAAGCACAAGATCAGGTACTCAATATTCTTCCTACTTGCATGCGATGTTTTAGAATTTGGTTACCAAAAAGAATGTGTAATATGTGCTAGAATGGAAAATATCATTGTAACAATTAGAATAGCTTAGAGAAAGGGAAGGTGACTTAATTTTAATGATCTTACTAAGTCTCACTCTCAAGCATGCATACTTGCATGCACCAAGACAACCGAGACATGTGTCCAAATCAATTTATGTAGCCTGTGGTCTCACCATCCTATGCTGCTTCTGTCCTTCATCTCCTAATTTGTGTGTCCTGAGAAACTGCTCATACATACATTCCAGGATCTTCATGACCTGCTAATCTGACTTCCACCAACGCACACCACTGCACCAGCCCTTGTAATGCCATTTGTTCTTTCTCATGCTTCTGCACCTCTATGTACCCAGCTGTTTTCCACTCATACCAATCTTAACACTTTTGTTACAATTATCTGTACTAAATACTGCTGCTGTCGTGTAACACAGCAGCCTTGAAAGGAAAAGCATCACTGTGAATATAAAAGTATCTGAACATGTTTTTAAGAAGCATATTAAAATGTAATTCTACAAACTATTGTATTAAATGCAAGACTGTAACTGCAAGACAGGAAGTCCTCTGCTGAGTTTTGTGCAAGTAATCATATAGATAGAATTACAGTAATAAGGAGAAGACCTCAGGATCTTAGAAGTGAAATGAGAAAGAATAAAATCCAAGTGGGTTCTTGACATTTTTCTTGTCTGGTGGCAGGCTCTGGAAACAGGAGACCTGAGTGGCTGGAGGGAGCATGCAATTGGCTTGAAGCAAACCAGATCTTTTCAGGAAATACTGATTCTAGCAGGCCGATACCAAGGAAGGCCAGGTGAATGGGGCAATGTTATATCCGTTAAGTAACGGAGGTAACATCCCTGATGTGGATGCTAGTATAAGGTAACACTACAAAGGAAAGTGCTAAAGAAAAAAAACAATCTATCCAACCCTGTGTTGTTCACAAATGGAAGTTGCTTCCCCTCTCCACCCTCCCCCTCGGATAACAGATTCAAATGTATGTCAGTGAGTATAAAATTAGTACTGAAAATTTTAGTTGAAAATAGATTTGGTAAAATCAGCATGATTGACAACTGTTGTGATAATTGTGTTTAGGAAGGATGAGTAGATGAAAGAGAACTGGACTGTGATCCCTGCTTGCTGTAGAGTTTTCAGTAATTTTGAACTAGAGGACATAAAGTGGGGATCATTAAGCTAACACTCAACTGTAGGTTTTGGATCCAGTGCAGTTCCATCAGAAACCATTGGAGCAAACATGGTGTCTTCAGTACCCTTGTAAGCATATGTCTAAAGGTATTTTGAGAATTTTGTTTGAGAAGTCTTATGTTCTGACATGAACATACCTTAGATTTTAATTTTGGATCATGAGAGACGTTTATGATACAGACATGAATTACAAGATTAGAAGTTTTTAGCTGACTAAGCTATCCTGATGGGTTTAGCATCACCATGAGCAAATATCGTCCTAACTGCTAATAGATATATTTGATGTTTCAGCAGAACTTCACTAAGACTAAGTCTCTTCCCAAAAGCTGAAGGAGTTGAAAATGAGAAGCAGTTGTTGAGACCAGGAAGAAGGTGATGGAAAGTGAGATTGCTTTTTTTTTTTTTTTTTTAATTAGAAACAGCACAAAAAACTCTGAACAGAAAAAACCACACCCTCCCCCCAAAAAAACCTGCAAAAACAAAAAAACAAACCAAAACCCAAACCCAAAAATATCTTGGAAAAAACCCCAAAACCCCCAAAACTGAACAACCAAAAAACTTGAAACACTGCAGTCAAGAGTGAGGATAAACTTTGAGAAAGACCTAATCCAGTAAAAGAAATGTACATGTTCACATTATTTTAGGTTGTTTAGTTATATTTTAGAACAAATATGAAGGCATGAAGAGAAATCACTTGAGAAATTGTGTGTATAAAGTATTGATAATGAAAGCAAAACTTAAAGGGATGGACAACTGCAGAACAGAGGAGAGACTGAAATCAGGCACTGGTCAGTCTTCAGTGATTAAAGGAGAGGTATGTGAAGAAATTTTGATTTGAGTAGAAGGTACTTTTTTGGATGTTGTTTGTTTTCAAATTAGCTAAGTCGGATCCGGTCATCCAGAGTCTGTTAAGTCTAAGAAGTACGAAGACCATGCCACATTTGTTTTGAAAGCATGGGAACTTGTATTCTACCTTGCCATATGGCTCTACATGGAGATCCATGTAGAAAGACATAAGCAAAAACCTCAGTTCTGAGCAGTCTGTTAAGTGCAAACAAAAATGAGGGTGTCTCCATTGTTTATAGAACTCTGCAGTTCTGCCTAGTGTTCTCTGTCCTGTGCTGTCTGGTGACTTCCTCAGATTCCTCCTCTGTTTCTGTTCATCTCTTTTCTACATGCCTCTCTGCTCATTCTTGTACCCTGCTGTATGTCCCTTATCCCCCTTGTGTTTCTCTTTAACGTCTCCTAAATAACCTTCTCCATGAAGGGCAGTGCTTGTTGCTGTCACTGTGTTTGCTATCTGCCTGTGTGTTTCAAGTGTAATGAGTTTAAATAAAACATTATGAGGATAATAACTCCTCAAGCTGGTGAACCTGGAGTTCTTCTCCAAGTCTAGGGGGTTAACTGAGCATTTCCCTGACTTGGTAATATTAACTTTTAATAGTCCTAGAAAGAGAAAAGCATTGATCTGTACTAATATTTATAGCAGCCAAACCCTGTTAAATTATGTGGCAGTTAAACTAACATCCATTATTGTAATGGTGTAATTCATAAAATATTTATTCATTACCAGATTAAAAGCTAGATGTATAATAAGTGGCAACTGATGGAAAATATGGAAAATATTGCCATTCAAACAAACGTGATAATTTGTTGATGAAAGAAGCTGTGTGAATGTATTGTTAAAGCACTCATTAAATAGAGGAATTGGCTAATTGGTAATCAGCAATGTATCCGTATATCTCTACTCTGATTTCCGTCCTGCATTTCTCCATGACAATGGTGAACTCTATTGCTAGTCAGAAAATAGCAGCTTAATGTTTAAATACCCGATGTTAATGGTTGTGAATTGTCATGTCACTTCAGCTCTGATATTCCCATAGGAAGGCTTATCAGTCTAGGCCAATTCACTGTATCCAGTATGGAAACAGCAAATAAGTGCTTGGTGTTTGATTAAACTGATTTTACAGGCTAAAACAGATTCTGCAGAGGGGCTTCAAAGTTAGGCAAAAATAGCGGAGGAGTAAATTTGGATACATGGCAGAACTCCTGTGGCTCTGGAGCTTATGTCTCCCCTTTCATGTCTCAGATCCTCTCCTTGTTTCTCTTCACATAGGCTCATAGAAATGTTGGATGTTAGGGACCTCTGAGGGTTGTCTAGTCCAGGCCCCCACTTGAGGTACCAGTGTCCCCAATGCTAGATCAGGTCAGTCAGGGTTTCAGGTGACTCTTGGAAACACCCAGGGCTGGAGTTGCCACCCTGGAATCTCTCCCTCTGTGTTGCATAGGATCTGCATAGTCAAACTAAGGCCATGTAATATGCAAGATGAAAGGAATAAAGAAGGATGATGATGAATGAGAAGTATGACTTGAGTGAGTAATGAAAAAACAAGGAGAAGGTTTGAAAACTTGGATCTTGAAAGATCAATTTCAAGTCCTACACTACTGTTAGTGTCGTTGAGGAATGCCTCCCTGAATGTGTCTGCTTCTAAGACCAGCAGTTTCAGCAGGAGCAGATGCTTGGGAAGGCTAATAACTCTTTAGTTGTAGCAATAGGAGTTTTTGTCCAAACAGAAGCCTTGTTTCTGCTGTATCAGTTAAACCCAAGAAGTAACTTTGTGGCGGAAGTATCAGGACCTGAATCTGCTTTGTCTGCATGACGGTTTTTGTAGGATAGAACTGGTAATAGAGCAGGTCAGAATATTTACTATGAGAAACTAATTCATGCTCTTTCACAAGTAGATCCATTATTCTACGAAGTCACATGCGAAACTTGTTGCAACCTTTATTTTAAGAACTTAGATTTTTTTCTACTGGAGAAACCATAAAAATACAACAAAGGCATGGCGAATGTTTAGGGGGTTTTATCCTATTAAATATCAAACTTACAAGCCCAGTGATTGATTTACAGTTTGAAGGTTATCTTTGCAATAAAAAGGGACTTAAGCTTGTGACATAAGCTTGTGTATTTTTAGTTGAAGCTGGGATTAGACGTAATAGACCTTGATTTCTGACACAAGATCTCTGACAGGAAGTGTAATTCATGTAGAGAACATCAAAATTTCTAAATTTTGGATCTTTAGTCATCTGATATCCTGATTTTTTTATAATTCTAATGCAAGTAAAGTGAAATAGTCCTCAGGAATTTCTGTGTTCTACAACAGCTACCAAATGTTCATTTTGACTTACTCGTTAATGAAAGGAATGAGGGTTTTTTTCCTGAAAGTCTTGAAACTGCTTGTTTTAACCACATTTTTACACTTGAAGATTGGTCTCAGATAAATATGAAATTATTGGGGGAAACTTGGAGGCCGTTGTCAAAATTGGCCTTGGACTGTCTAGAAGCATTTCAGACATTATCAGTGTTATACTTTGGTCCATTGTCTCAGAGTAAATGCTAAGAACAAAGCATGTTCCAACTTTCTAAACAAAACAGAATTGTTAAGACTAATGGCTTTTCTTTGTTGAAAGGAATTATTTCCTGATTTACATGTTTCAGATTTTGACAGTATTCAGACTCTCACCTGAAAGTATGTTTATTTTTCACTTAAAATTTGTTATTTTACAGGTTCTTGAAAGTTTGTGGCTCTGAATTAGTACGTCTTGAATTGTCTTGTGGCCATTTCCTCAATGAAGCGTGCTTGGAGGTCATCACTGAAATGTGTCCAAATCTTCAGGAATTAAATCTCTCATCATGTGATAAAATACCACCTCAGGCTTTCAACCATATAGCCAAAGTGGGCAGCCTAAAGCGTCTCATTCTCTACAGAACGAAAGTGGAGGTAGGAACAAGTATTTTTAACCTTTGCAATAAATATTTTCAATCCTGGTAAGATAAAGTTGTGTATTTTTTTCAATAATGAAGAATTCAATTAGGTCTAGCAGGGTATCTGATGATGATTTGGTAACACAAGGTAGTTAGATTAAAGGATAGGCTGTCTTGAATGATTGGCATTTGCTGTGGCTATGCCACAGTCAACATGAAGCCAGTGCCCCTCAGTAACTTCTTACTTTGTGGTAGTTGCTCTGAAGCAGTTATTTTCTTCAAACTAAAAAACAAATTGGTGAGCCATGCTTTTAAGTGCATTTTATATAGAGCTGAATTAGTACCTTGGGTGTATCTGTTCTGTTTCTACATCATTAATTTTTCTGTAAATCTTGGATAAATCTCCTTTATTTCATTTTGACCATTGGCTCTAATTTACAAGGCTTTCTCAGATCCAGGGAAGATGATTGTATCAAAGGTAATGATTGTATAATTTTATTATTTTCTACTGTTGATCGATCAGAATCTTCTTGATTCTACTCAGGGAGCTTCTAAAGTTTGAGACTTCATGCTTGTAATAGCGCAGTAGCTGAGATATACTCTGAAGTTATTGGTAACTCATTTCTTCTCTAACGCTTTGCTGAACAGAGCTTGAAATTAGATTGAATGTAGGTGGTAAAGATTTCCTCACTTTGAAGCCCTTAAATTGTGAAGATTCATTTCTGCCTTTCATGTGTATGGACATGCATCTGCTTGTAGCTGCCAAGAACATTCATTCATAATCAAGTTTTCTTAAGATTGTGCTTCCATTTTATACATAAGTGTAAACAAAAGGCACGGTTCCTAACAAACCGTGGAAGAGAAATGTCGAGAAATTTAAATAGGTAAATTGGAGAGCATGCTTTTGTGTTACTTGCTAATGTAAAGCCACTTAACAATATACATTGTGCATCCCAGATAGAAAAGTAAAATGGAGAGAATGAAGATGTGGAATAGGATTTGAATTAGAGCATTAGAGTTACAAAACCCACAGGTTTGTAGAAATAACATCACCTTTCTCAGCATTAGCTTCTCTTAATGCAAGTCTTTGGATTTCTACACAAAATAGGCTGCCATTCCTTCTGTGCTCTTCAGGTGGTACAGAGATGCTTGGTAGTAAGTGGTGGCTCTATACAAAACAGGATAGACTGATCAAGCATGCTGTGAAGTGAGTAAGACTTCTATAAAACTTGTCAAAGCACTGTAATATCGTTGTGTTCCTGATTTTTGTGAAATTTCTACTACTATCTTCATTGCTGGAGCTTCTAAAGAGCAAACAAAGGAACAGTGCTAATAATTAGTCAAGAGCTTGGCTCAATTGTATTTTTGCCAACTGGATCTGATCAGTGAAAAGAATCTAAAGCTGTGAATCCACAAAGGAAAACTCTTAACTGATAAACAAGTATGTGTTTATTGAGAGAAAGTAAGTAAGAAGGTGAGAAGAACAATGCTGATACAGTCCTCTGTTAAAGTTCTATCTCAAAATCCAAGAAGAAGAAACCAAAAGAAAAATCTGTTCATTTCATTTAGCCTGTTTTCCTAAATAATTCAGTGGCTTGCTTTTTTACTTAAACCAAATAATAACCACCAAATTTTCGTGTCTTAGAACACATCTGGCTAAATAGTACAACTTTTTCTTTTGATTGTGAATTTGGACATGTGTTTAAATAACATAGGATAAGATGAAGATTCTTCACCCTTTTTGTCAGTATGTGATAAAACTGTTCCTGGTTTTGCATTATGCTTTATAAAAAGTACAGAATGAACATTTTAATAAAAGAAATCGTATTTCTTCCATTTACACTCCGAAGTACCTGCCCAGATACAGGATTTCCTTGCTCAGTCTAAGTCATGTGGTAGTCTTTCCTTTTTTTTTTCTTGGCTTTCAATGCTAAAAAAGAAGAGGAAAAAAGTTCTTTCAACATCTAAATTTAAAGTATTTGTTGTACTTTTTCCGTTTATATGATTACTGTGACACTAATAAATAAATTCTAAGAAAACGCTCTCAGAAAATTGACTACTGTAATGATTTTTGTGTTAGGTAGGTAGATTTTGAGGACAGTGGAAACGTAATAAAATTGATAACATGTTTGTCATCTGAGCAATTGTTATTACAGTTTCTTGTTATTTTAGCTGTTTCCTTTGAATAGGTTTTGTTTTTAAAAGTGTTGCCATTGTCTCTGTAATCAAAGCTTCAATTTTTAAGTGTCTGTTTTTAATGTAATGGGCAATGCGGTTGTTCTGCTACTTATTGCACTGCCACTTTGGAAGATGGCTGTGTGATCTGGAGAAGGTTATGTTCTTTGGTCCTAACCCTGCTGATTCTTAATGTATAATGTTATTTCCTTGACTTATTGAGAGCGCATTTGTGTGTGTAAAATTGTTTTCAAACCCCTGAGTTGAAAATTCTAATGCCTTTGAATTATTCCAACCTCTCTGTTAGAAGAGGGAAAGCCCAGTGACCTTCAGTAGCTTTCCAGTAACTAAAAAAAAATGGCCTGCATTGCTATAGTCCTCCCCACAAAATGCAGCTCACTTTTCCAGTACTGTAAGTTCATTTTTAAAAGGTTTAATTCTTAAAGATAGTTTGATAATGTGTATGTTTGAAATAATTTGTAACTTGCTCTGAGAAACTAATCTCAACATTTTATAAATGTAATTTCTGTGCACTCAAGACCACTATTATACTTGTGGGGTTTTTGTGCTGGTGGGTTTGGTATCTACTGATACATAGTGTTTATTCACTGAGAGTGTATTCACAGCATAATTTAAGTGCTTATTGGCATTGATACATTTGAAGAATACAATGAACAGTGGAAGTATTATTGTATATACAGTAACTGGCAATGCACATCTTTTTGCTTTAAGCATGAATAGTATCATGATTTAATGCTTATCATGAAGTATTCAATCCATATAAATAATTCATCCAAAATTGTATTTTAAAGAAATGGAAGCCACAATTACAGTAGGAGAACTTGTCAGTCTCCTTATTACTGGGTGTAAATTGTAACATAAGATTACATAGTATAAAGAATCAGAATATCATGCAACATGAAATATATAAAGAAAAAGTTTTTACAGTTTGTATTGCAATTATATTTAAAATACAAAACAAACTAAATTTAAATCTAATTGCAGTGGGCAAAGGACTTCGGGTTTTTTTCACATATTTTTAAGCAGATGTTGTATTTATAAATTTTATCTCTGATACCTTTGACCAAAAGCAAATTTGGAACTTGGGCAGCTGTGAGAAGGGACACTGGAAATCTTGGATACCAAAAAGAAACATAAGAATCTTAGCAGTAAATGTAATAGCTCTTATTTTCTTATGCCATGAGCAGTAACAGAGTTAATGCTGCCATAAAATTGTTCTACAGAGTTTTCAGAAATAACCTGTTATGGGTCATGTTATACTTTTGAGAGCTGTTGTCTGAGGATTTTCAGTTTGGACAAAATTCCTTTGGCTTGGGTATAAATCTTTAGGATTAAGAGTTGCGAGCAAATAGTGGGGAAAAAAGGGTGAAAGCCTCTAGCTGGAATGTGGATTTTTGGACATAAGTTGAGCTGGTGACAAATAATCATGCAATAAAGGGCCTTGATGGTGCTTTCTGATTTCATGTTGGGCTCATAGGATGGAATTCTGTCATTTGAGCTTGTAGTGTGAAGAGTGAGGGGAAAGAACGAAGGTGTAAAACAAATTTACAGACATAAGGGAGGACATAATTTGACCGAATGAAGCAAAACCAAAATACAGTAATTGAATTAACTACAGAGACTATTACTTTCATTTAATTAATTCAGTAATTGTCATGTTGCTGTGTCCCAGTCCCTGCTGTATCCCTGGCGCTGCCAAGTAGCTGTAGAGAACAAAAAGGTGCCCCTGTACATCCTGAATCCCAGCTTGCAAATTACACTGCACCTGTTTGTGAGGAAGCATGTGTTCTGACTTTTGAAAGACTACACCTGCACTCAGTAATAAAGTTCATTCGACCTTCATTTCCATATACTCTCATTGTTCTCTTACCTGATGCTCATGTAGTGTTCATATTGGATCTGTTTTTAAACCTGCGTCATGAAGTTTTGGAGGCAAAAGTTTTATCACTGTTCAGTTCTTCGTCTCAAAAATAGTTCAATAATCCAAGTGCATTAGGGGGAGATGGGGAGCTGATTTTTAGCGAATACATTCCAGTTCTCTCCCTTTTCTTATAATATCTTCTGGGGTGATAGCTGATGGATGCTTGAGGGACAGTAGACTTCCTGTTCTAATGCCAACTTTTACTGTGTAGGAAAATGGTTTTGCTGCCATATTTATTTTGAATCTATAAATTAAAATGGTCTGCATTAGTGTCAGAGGGCATCACTCAAATATGCTTTGATTGTGGTAATAAAGGGCAGGCTAGAGCATTATCCCCTTCTGCAAACATCAGCTGAGAAGTCATGAAAGGGATTGGCTCCTACATCTGTCAACAGCTTTTTTCAGTCAGGTTGGAGACACCAGCTGACCTGGAACCAGGTGATCTGGGATAAACAGTCTCCAGAAGTTCCTTTCCACACTTGGCTCTTCTGTGATTCTGTGACTTCGTGCTGATGGCACTAATTGTGGCCTTAACTCATGAGCTTTGTTTTCCTAGTGTGCGACCAGGACAACTGCCACACTTTTTCCATCAATAAAATTTGTGTAGTAAACTGGTGATTTTTGTAACTGTGGTATGAGGATAGATACACAGAAGGCTGAGATTCTCTGACATGTATGGTACTGTGTAGGATACTCTATATTGGGATGTGTGTAAGGAAACCGTACTTAAAGAAGGGAGGAAGCCGTCTTTAATGAGATCTAAGATTCTTTTATCTAAGCATTCACTTCAATGAAAAATTTGAAGAAAAAATTACAGAAGAATAAGAGTCTTGTAAAAGATTTAGGCTCTTGTTTCACTGAAGGGCTGGAAGAATTCCCAACTTATGTCATACATAGTTCTTCTGAGAAAGGGAAAAAACAGCCTGTTGTTTGTCTCCAGAAAAAAAGTAAGAAATTTAAAAGTAGCTTTTCAGATTTGTCTATAGAAAGAAAGTTTATTAAAAGGTGCAGCCTATTTCTTCCCTAACCCAACCCCAAAGTAAAACTTTGTTGTTTTTCTTAAGCTTTTCCTTTAATCTTTCAGTCACACTGTGGTGCACTTGTTTTCATGCCTTGTATGATAGTGCAGCCATTATGTGACAGCCATATTATAGTGCATCATTTGTATTTTTCAAACCCTTTTTATTTTTTTTTAATCTCTGAGTACTCGACAATGAAACTGCAATGAGTAAATAGTCAAATATTCAAAGTGCATCTTTCACAGGTGAGTCACATCTGCCAGACAGAAGGGTTTTCTGTTTCAACAGATACTGAACTCAGGCTATCTGTTGGATGCTTTCCTTTCATACTAACATTAGAAATGATTTACACTTCTTGCTGTATCGTGAATGTAAAAAATCCTGAAAAAAGCCAAGTAAGCTTCCGTCTCGCCAATTGTATTTCTCTGGCACCAGTATTTGGTTTCTCTGCTGATGGGTTGTCTGTTCAAACCAACAATGCTTTTGCATCATCTAAACCAAAACATACGTGTGATGGCCAAGGCCTTTACAAAGACAGGTAAGATACAGTTTAGTCCAGTATCAGCTATTTAGTTGAACTATACACAACACGTAACTGTCTTCCAGGCTGGCATGTATTACAGAGTGGAGGGTTTTGATGTTTGGGCAGTCCTGTCACCTGTCTTGTGTGGAGTAAATTAGGATTTCAAACAGTAATCTCATCTCTTGTCCAAGACAGGATCAACTCTGTCCTTTGTGACAGACATTTTTCTGACCTGTTCATAAAGATTGCAGAGAACCCGCAGTCAGTCTTCCCTTTTTCTGAGGTTTAGGACTAACTACGATGCCCTAAAATATTTCTGAAATCTGCTCTGTAATGTTGGGTTTAGCAACACTATTCATATCCTTCTGATCAATTCAACATCAGTCTTCTCTCTGAAAACAACTTCTACACTGTATGTTTTCCTCATCTAAAAACATCTTTCCTGGGAATGGAGGATAGGACAGACGATTTTATTTGCCCCCTTTGAACTCTTCCTATTGTCTGTGCCATCTTACAAAAATTAAGTATATTAGTAGGTTTTGTTTTGGCTTGGGTGGCAAAAGAAATGTAGACCACTGAAGCCATGACTCCACAAAGAAAAAGTAAATCTTAAGTTTGTTTACGGAGTGGGTTTTTGTTTTGTTTTGGTGTATTGTTATTCGTCTACTCTTTTCTCAATCTCTATAAAAGGGAGCAGGTATGAAACTAAACTTTACTTTTGGTTCAGAGAAAACTCACAAAAATCTCCAAACTATACATGTCTTGGTTGATAGGCTCAAGAATGTTGTTAGAGGATAGTCTTTGATTTGACTGTCTCTGCTTGGCTGAGAAAGTGAAATTAGACTCCAGCTTAAAGCTTGCTGATACAGAATTTAGGTGGCCTCAGCTCCTCTTGTGAAGCACTCTAACATTTGAAGTTTGGCCTGTGCTACAGGTTCAGGTTGGGATGATTGCCTTGCTCTTTTCTTTTGCTTGAATAGGAGTGTTATGGCTCATGTTGTATTGCAAGATGAATTGTACAGACAGATGGCCTGAAACAGACAGGTTATTACAATGATAGTCCTTCTATATGTAGTGCATATGGATTCTGTGAGCTGCCATTCTCTCCTGCTATTTTCTTGTCTTTTGCCACCTGGATTCTCAGTTGACTGAGGCACAGCTAGGCATGCACAAAGGTTTTTTTCTTCTTACATGACATATGCAAAGCCCACCTCAGTTACAGAAGAACAGACACTGCATATGAAAGAAATCTGGTTTGCTGTGTGTGGGCATGTATGCACCCCAGAAGAGGAATTAATATAGCCAGTATAATTAATGTTGAGTATGTAGTTGTTTACTCTTGGGCTTGACTTGGCATGATTTGTGATGGTATGACATGGTATTCTACCAAGCTCCTTTCTATTACCCAGATTTCTAGTGCGTTTTTTGAAGTTTTTTTGGGTTTTTTAAATAATGGTTTAAAATAATACTTTAGGTGTTACAGGTTGTGAAAAGACCTTTGAAAATGTGGACTCAGTGCATGTCAGTACAGGAAGGACTGTCTTAAATAGAGAGGGACGAAAAAGGTACTCTGAGAGGTGCATCACATTCCTGTTGAAGTTAACATAAGGATCTCAGTTATCTATCAAGATAACTATGAATACTAGTCTTCCTATCTATTTTACGCCTTTCTGAAGAAGTATGGAATTGATCTCACACCCTACAAGCTGTTCAGAGTGACTGTTCACTTTTGTACTGTTTGTGTCAATTAAAGAAAGAGATCGCTGGTTTCTGTCCTTTCAGGCCAGTGTGTAAATTCCAGTCTGGAAACCATTACTAAAAAGCTCGGTGAAATGCAGCAAGGTACTGAGCTTTCCTGTGGAGTCATCTGAATACCTGCAGAAACTCTGTTTAGAACTGTGTGTGCAGTCAGAGACTGCTTTTTTTATCTCCAATATTTAGGGTTTGGAGAGAGGGGTTTGGGGATTTTGCTTTTAATTTGTGCACCTGAGTAGGTTCTAAAGCTCATAACTTTCACTGAGTTAAATAGTAAAGACTGTGTCTCATTCTCTTTGAGTTAGTCGTTTATTCATGTTTAGTGGTCCAGATGAAGCATTTGCTTAGTTAGTGTGTAATTTAAAATGAATTGGATATTTACACATTTACGAGCTTTAAGATGTTCTTAATAATATCTTTAATAGTGACTTTTCAATGCTCTTGTGTTCCATTCCCTAGCTACCTTTTCCTTTAAAAACATGAATGAAAGTTAAGCAAGCAAGCAAGTGAATAGTGACTTTGTAAGACTTCTACCAAGATATATGTGAGGAAGGCTTACTCTTAGCATCTACTTTTAGGCTGCCTTTGGAAAATCAAGTCTTGGAAGGCCAAGTTGGAATCGAGATTCCATACCTGTCAAGTGTTGGGTGTTTATAATTGCTCCCCAGAGACACCTAAATTAGATGTCTGAAATGGTATCTGTGAATACCCTGTGCCGTGTCACTGTTCTGTGTCTGCCAGTCTTTCTGTGCAAGGAATCACATGTTATTTCTCAGTGATAGGACAAAGGATGAGTTTGTGCCAAGTTTCATTAGAAAGCAACAAACTGAGGAAACTACATAAAGCATTTAACTGTAAACTTTCTGCAAATAAGTAAATTTATATTTTAAAACCCTATAAATTATACTACCCATGCGTATGAATATTGTTGACAAGTGTTCTTTTTGGAATTACACTTAATAGCAGTAGATTATTTGTCACTTGTGTATTGCTTGGGCTTTTTATCTACTAGAAACTGTTGTATATCCTGTAGAAATCCACATACTTTTATTGTTACTGTGTTGTGAAGCTTAATCCTGTTTTCAGCTCATATAGATTACAAAGTCCTAACAAAGTGATGTTTTAAGTATGATGCACAACTATTTGTGATGTGAATCCCAGACTGTGTTCTTTTTTTGCACTGTGCATGTTTCCAACAAGAAAACAAAATATGACTACAGACAATGCAGGAGGGTCTTTTCTGTATCTTAGAAACAGAAATAAAAATCCATGAAGTTTCACTTGCTGTGGAGGAGACAGGCCACGTACAGTACATTTTATAAGATGACTCTGATGTCCAGTTTCAGGCTGAGCAGCATGCAGTGCTTTCTGAAAAGAATGACCACATTAAATGGCAGGAACAGGGCTGTAAAATACATGTTACATGTTTCAATCTGCATGCTAATAGTGACAGGTGCTCCGTGGTTGTCAGCATCCTTGTCAGCACGGAGACTCTTTGACCTTAAAGTCACCAACTGATGCTGTGCAGCTCTATTGGCAGTTCCATCAGGCTGCAGCTGATCAGCGAATGTCAGAGCCTTCGCTCTTCTTCTGGTGTGTCACCAGCTCTCTTGTGTTTTCAGGCTGGCCTTGCCTGTTATTTGATCTTGCTACACTTCTGCAGCTTTCCTATGGGAAATGAGCGGATAGGTCAGTGGTACGTGGGTATCTTCAGGGCAATGCAAACCCCCATCCAAAGTGATTTGCATAAAGGTTTGTAATGATTACCTTTGCTTTAAGCCAACCAACGGGTAAAGTACCCAGGGACTCATTAAGTGGCATTTGTTCCCCCTGTAACAGAATTTTGAGCTGTATTTCAGGAAATGCGGTGGCAGCCTTTAATGTCTAATTGACCTCTTTGTTTCACTTTCCATATTTCCTTCGGATGTGTTCCCCCATGGCAGCAAACAGCCCTGCTCAGTATTTTGAACTTCTGCTCGGAGCTGCAACACCTCAGCCTGGGCAGCTGTGTCATGGTGAGTACTGGAGCCGCTTGGGGTGTATGTGTACAAGCACTCGCTCGCTTTGGAACTCAGTCTGGGGTTGTTTCACAGCAGTGTGTTAAATGCTAGGCTGATATTAGGCTCTACTCGCTTGGAAAGTGCAACATAAATGCAGCTTGGTCATATACATAGGGGTTACATACCAGTTTAGTGGGCCTAAAGCATAGCTTGTAGGCTTTTTCATAGTTCTTCATGTGTTTTTTGACAGTTTTTGGACATTCTTTATATGCATAATTGCTTTTTCTTTCCAAGGCTAATAATCCAAAGTTAAAAATAATTACTTACTTTTATGCAGCTCAGATCATCATTCCTAGCAGCTTAATTCTTGTGTCTGACCCTACAGTAACAACCACAAGAGCAATATCTTTTGGCAAAAGCCATTTGAGTTGTAGACTTGCTGGGCACATTCATTGGTTTGAAGAAAGTGAATACAGGGACAGCAGCAATTCCTGCGGGGCACTTATTTGAACTGTATTGCATGTGCACGCCTGAGCTGTGTGTAGAGGGATTCAGGCTTGCTGCTATCCCTGGTGGTAGCAAATTGCTGATCGGGGCAACTTAGTTGAGCTTCCTCATAGTTCAGGAATCACAGAATAGTTTGGGTTGGAAGGGATCTTAAAGTTCAGCTGTTTCCAACCCCCCTGCCATGGGCAGGGACACCTTCCACTAGACTTGGTTGCTCAAAGTCCCATCCAACCTGGCCTTGGACACTTCCAAGGATGGAGTATCCACTACTTCTCTGGGCAACCTGTTCCAGTGCCTCACCACTCTCACAATAAAGGATTTCTTTGTTACCTGAATCTACCCTCTTTCAGTTTAAAACCATGTGGTAGTTTGGTCTAGGCCTTCCTTGGTGACCAGTTTGTAGCCAAGGAAGTGCCCAGATTTACCCAGTATTCCCTATGATTTTTACGTAAGCCGGGCTATAAGAAGAAAGGAGGGAAGGCCTTAGCTCTCTTTCCTTCCGGCGGCTTGGAAGTGTGGGTTTCCCTGCTGTTGAGTCTGCCGTGTTGGGGAGCGAGGCCTGGTAAGGCCTTGTCAACCTTGGGAGACGGAGGCTGCCGGCGATCGTTCCAGAGCGACTCTCCGTTGTCCCAAGGAGAGTAGTAAGATAGTTTTTTTTGCCAATTCTTTTAGTTGCTAGATATTGGGCTACTAATCAGGATACATATATATTTTATTTTGGTTTTGTTCCTTTTCCCTTCCCCCTTCCCTTTCCCTTGTGAATATATATATATATTTCAGTTGTATATAACTGAACATAAGTGTATACATTAACATAAGTGTAAATGTATTTATATATATTGCTTTAGCTGTCTCTCTCTCGTTTCGGTTTTCTTGGTTATTTTTTTTCTCCCTCTTCTCTCTGAGGTTTGGGGGTGGGGGGGGGGGATGACTTCTTGTGGTAAGGTTTGGAGACTTGGCAGGGAGCCAGCTTCAAACCATATCAAACCATTACCCCTTGTCCTGAATGCATGCCCTTGTAAAAGTCCCTTTGGCTTGCCCAAAGTAATTAATAAGACAGAGATGCAGCAACTGATCAACCTAAATTGGAAAATAAGCATGTTCTTCAGTCTGCAAGTGCTTATGGTTGCAGTACCTGTGGTCAAAAAAATAGCTGTAATAATCTTTTACAGGAAAAACAACTGTGAAAAAAGTGCTTTTCAAAGAAAATAAACTTTTTGCTGCATTTTGATCCTTAGTTTTAAGTGAATTTAAAAACACTTACGTCTGATACTAAGTGAATTTAAAAACACTTGTGTCTGGAATTTATAGGAAATTAATTTTATTTTTGTCTTTTGTAAAAGTAGACCTCATTGTACTCTACAATGAACAATTTTCAGAGCTCTTTAGAAATTACATGCTTAAGACAAATCTGTAGGTGTTAGGAAGCAAATCTTGAAACATGCATATATGTCTGGAAAGATGGTACACATGACAAAGTGTTTGCTTTCCTTGCAGATTGAAGATTATGACCTTATAGCAAGCATGATGGGGGCAAAATGCAAAAAGCTTCGCAGTCTGGATTTGTGGAGATGTAAAAACATAACTGAAAGTGGAATCGCAGAATTGGCTTCGGGCTGCCAGCTTTTGGAAGAACTTGATCTTGGTTGGTGCCCTACGTTACAGAGCAGCACAGGCTGCTTCACGAACCTTGCACGTAAACTCCCAAACTTGCAAAAGCTCTTCCTTACGGCCAACAGGTCTGTGTGCGACACAGACATCGAGGAGCTTGCTGCTAACTGTACACATTTACGGCAGCTGGATATATTGGGTAAGAAAATACGGGAATATTGGTATTTATTTGACTGTGTCTCAAAAACCTTGTGGTTAAAAAGGAGACCTTAAGACAAAACTCTCTTCTAGACATATTTTTAAAATAATTGTTTCTTAAAATTATGGTTTGGCATATGAAAAAAAAAGAGGAAGTTTTCCTCACTGCAGTATGTTTCTGACTCAGAATCCAGTGGGTTTATACCAACTATGTAGTGGTTAGGATGCGACGCTCTCACCACCGCGGCCCAGGTTCGATTCTCAGTCAGGGAACTCCTCCAGGCAGATGGAGCTCGTCAGCCCTGTAAGGCCATCCATCTAAGAGAAGGTCACTCTAAACAAACCTACGTCCTGAGGACCTCACTGCCACTGTCCAAGCTCACTCGGCCCCGGCAGATGAACCTTAGGATTAAAGGGTGGGCTCAGCTCAGCACACACTGTGTCTCACCTAAAAAATCCACTGCGCAGGCTCGAAGGGTAAAGACCTTTCCCAAATCTCCGTTCGCGAAGACTGGCCGTGAAACATGAAACTTTGACTGCTTAGTATGAATTGCTTAAACTGAGATTTAAGTGCAAGATTTTTTCCAATAACTTTTAGTTTGATGACCATAGCTTTGTTTAACTGAAATGGTTCTCTTTGACTGTAAGAAGAACCAATTTCTTATCCTTTTTCTGCTTTTATTTATAATTTTCTTTCTGTGACAAAGTATATTTATAGTATGAGTCTGTGATCAATAAACAGATTTTGCTTTTGTGCAGTACATATACACTATGCAATACTGACTTTCTTTGTCACTTTTAGCAGGAAGGGAATTTGAGTTATTAAAGATGAAAAGGTACTTACCAGCAAAACTTTACATGGACTTTCTAGAAAGGTGGGAAGGAAGTGGTGAGGGGCAAAAAGCATAGCAAATCTGAAATTTTTAATCCTTTGCAGCTTCCATAGTTAAAACTATTTTTAGAAATCTAAAGTAAATATACGTTGGATTCTTCAGTAAGGACTTTGAGAAGTGTAGTTTTGCAGGATACTGAATCTATTCTTTATATGGTGGAATATAAGATTTTGTCTTTGTAATAATGTAGGACAGCAGGGTAGTTTGTGGCATCAGTGTGAGAGTAATTTCTTTATGCTTTGACAGCCTATTTTCACTGGGTTAGTTGTAAAAAGAAGACTTAAATGAAAGGGAAAAAAACTAACTGCATTGTATATTTTTAATATTTAATAATTTTAATGAAAATATTACATTTAGGTTGAGAGAGACACTGCAAAAAGCTGAGAGCCCTCAACTCAAATAATGTTCCAAGCAAGTTGAAGGCTATCAGCATTTATCATTACAGAATATTTAACATATGTCTTCAGATTGTCACTCCAGTACAGGTAGTACACTCTTCTATTGTGAAATAGAGGTTATTCATCTTTGACTGAGAAAATGGTCTTCTGACCAGTATGGGAAAGGAGGATGAACAGATTAAAACCTTAACTTGACGTAGTACAAATTGTGGAGACTTGATGTATATGTCCACAGGAGGTGCTGTGTTTTGTGTATCTTTAAGAGAATCTGTTTTGTAGCTAGGTTATCAAGGGCACGTTTCCCTATTCAGACATGAAAAATTTCCAAATGGCATAGTGAATTAAGTCTTTCATAAACATGTGTGTGCTCCTGACCACCAGCTTCCATATATTTCTGTTGCAATGGCATTGTGTCTGCCCATGAAGTGGTCAGACCTCTTCACTGCATCTGGGGCTCCCCAATGAAGAGTTTGGCTGTGTTAAGCCTGTGGATAGTCTGCCAGTTCTGTTGTCTCTCTGCCAGCAGCGAAGGCTTGTTGCCACACTTCTTTAGCATTTGAATTCACGTTTTAATTGTTTAACATCTTATTGATGTTTGGGGGGGGTGCTGAAAAATAGTTTGTGAATGGGGAAAAGGAGCTTGTTCTGTTCCCCAGGTGCTTACCAATGTTCTTGAATCAAGTGGATTTGTAACCAAATTTTCTCGGTGAGGTTGCATGTTGGGTTCAGATAAATGCTCTGTAGGGGATATGCAGTTGAATTATCTGCAAGATGTTACCAAAAACTGTAGTATTCACCTACCAGACCTCACTTCGTTCCTACAGAGAAATATTTAGTAGAGTGAAAAGAAGGTTGTCTTCTGCTGTAAACAGGTCAGTACAGGGTGATACGATATATGTGAAGGACTTACCCCGCTTTTTTGGCAACAGCAAGAAAACAGTGTTAGTTTCTTTGTCTGAATATAGTAAGCACTACAGTCTGTGGTTAAAAGAAAGAGCTGTCAAGTGGAACAATGTTGGGTCGTCTGGAGGTAGAGTTGCCAGGTAACTCATGTAAGTGCAGAAGTCTCTGTTGTCTGAACTAAAGAGCTAGTCTCTTACTGTGCAGGAGTACCAAGAAAGTCATAAATCTCTGTATGTGCTCTAACTTTTGGCATCTGATGTAGGGCCATACCGTTACTTTAAGCTGCATAAACGTGTAATATGTTTTTGTCCTTTAGAAGAAGTGTGACAACAGGTCTGAAGCTGTTAGAGGCCGGAGGTCAACACTCAGCTTTGCAAGAGTAACCTTGAACAGTGGGTCTTCCCTGTGATGTGAACGAATGAAAGATGTTCTCATTATATCCTTTGTCATCTTCCAAGTACAGAAATGTCTGGCTTGTACATGCATTGTGGAGGATGTAGAAGTATTGTGTCTAGGTTAGCACTGTGTGCTGTAAGGCAACTTCTTTTGCTTCAACAAAGCTGCATAAAAGCAAGATTTTTTTTTGCTGTATATATAGGCACTTACCTAAGTAGAGGTCAGAATGTCTTACTCTGCGCTGTACTCACCAGTGTTGAATATACTATACTGGTGTCTCTCTGCAGTTGCTAGAACTTATAAACTGGCTAGGGAAAACTTCTTGTTTCAGTTATAGATTATTTATCATCACAATAGCTTAAGAGCTGGAGGAGTCTAAGCCTCTGAAAGAAATCTTGTTGAGCTGTAAGTGATGCAAAATGCATGTTATTATAGCCTGGCTGCTGTTTTAAGGTGATAGGTCCTGCAGCTTACTACCCATCTGTCCTTTAGCATAATTGTTTAGCAATTTCCTTGTTACAGAGTCAGAGGACTCTGTAGAAGATGAAAACTGCTGTTTTTCAAGAGCTCCATAAACTTATGGCTCTTGTAAAGCATTGTTGGATTGTGGTGGTGTATCCCCTGCCCTCCCCCAAGGCTGCATTATGATTTGAGACACCTTAAAACACTCATTTCACAACATGGATGTCTGGCTGTGTTTGTGCTGTGTAAAACATACTTCGTAAAGTAAACTGTTTAAAAAAGCACGTCATGGATTGGGTCTGTATCTGCTATATTACAAGTTTGGAAGAGGAAGCGTGATGTAAGTGTGTCACTGAGTACATGAGGATGTTCTTCTCTTGAAGTTTTAGTTCTGAGCTTTCTTTCACCTGTTACATACTGAGCTGCCTGCTTACAAGTATCATTTCCCTGTTGGCCCACATCTTTTCCGCTGACTGACATGGCATATTTCCACCTTGTGGTAGGATGATCCAGCTGCGATCATCTGGCAGTCTTGTAGTGATGCAGTACATCAGCTGGTGCTGTCAAAAGTTAAGTGGACACATCCAGACCTGTAGTTAAAAACTAGTCTTCAAACTGTGATATAGTGTTGAGAATGTGACGAATCAACCTGAACGGACAGTGCTTAAAGCTTTTCTTACACATAGTATCAGCTGCTTAATTTCTGTTTCTGTGGGGTTCCCAGCTGCTGTCAAGGGTGAAGAGTAAGTCATATTAATCTCGCTCCCCAAAAGTTCCAACTGCTTCTGTCCTGCACCAAAAAGGTAATGAAAAACAGACACCCTTGTTACCGCAAAAATTCATGTATTCCTATCTACATGCCGACACCTCCCACACCTTCCTGAGCAACAGAAAACCCAACTGCCCCCTTGCCAGCTGTCAAAGTTTTCAGCTTTATCTTGAGAACATCAACACATAGTTAGTCAATTCAAACATGAAAATGTGTAGCATGTTAAAATTTTGAATTTGAGTTGTGTGGAATAGATTGGAAAAAATGTAAAGACTAAAACGTTAGTCTGGTTGGTCTGGGGGAGGAAGGAAGAAAAGTAAGAACGTTTGAGGGAAGAGTGATAGTTATTTTCAAGGTCTCTACTCTTAAATATTATTTGGTGTGTAGTAGTATCCCTTGCCCTAGAAACTGGGGCTCTGGCAGTTTTTATAGTGCACAGCTCTCCTGAACAGCTCTAGAATTTGAAGACTTGGATATATGATACATATAAATTAAATCATTTAGAAGTACCTTTTACGAAGGTGATGCCAGAAAATTTTTTTCTGAGCGTTAACTGAACAGCAGAAGTAAATAGCAGATTTTAATATATTGGTTATGTTTGTATTCTGAGAATTGGCTGATTAGTCCATACAGGAGAAGTTGTAGTAAATAACAAAGGTCCAAAAGCCTCCAAACTCTAGAAGACATGCACTACATAGACAACTAGCAGGATACATTGTTAGTCTTTCAAAAGCAAGGGAAAATGTGCTATATTAAAATTCTGAAATGCTTTTGAATGGGCTTTTAAGATATATGCATGACTAACTGTACGTTGTATAAATAAAAGTAAGATTACAGATAATTGCTTATCCTGAGGTGTGAATAACCAAGCCCCATGGATTGCTTTTAGATAAAGGTATTTCCTAACATAAAATTTTGAGAAGGAAAAAAAACCCGAACAGGTACGGTAAAGCATGCAATTTAGGATGACCTACTTAGTTGCAAATCTATCAGAAATCTTAGTCTTAGATGAAATGGTAGGAGAACTGTCGAAGTTCAGGTAGGAAGGAATGAAGAACATCCTACACAAAAAAATCTATGGCTAGGCATCTAGATCTAGCATTTTGTAGAAACACACGTTTGGATCTTGAAGCATAAAAGCTGTGATGCATAAATGAGACTGGTTTTAGATGGAGGTGCTGATGTAGTAGCAATTTTAAGGCTTGGTAGAAAAAAGATAAGTAGCATAATGTGTTGTTCCTAGAGTCACATTTGGAATGGGAGAGCAGGTCCTTATGGTAGAACAGTGATACTGTGGTAAAGTTTATGATCAAGTGAAGTGAATAAATAAAACATATTACAGAAACAGCCCCTAAAGCTATAGGGGCTGTTTCATCAACCACCAGACAGTTGTGATGACAGGGATCATATGATAAGGGAGTTAAAAATCACAATGATAATGACAACCTTTATCTGTGTAGATGAGGTAAAATTTGGGGCACGATAGCAAAGACTGTCTTTGGGTGATGTTCAATAATGTCTCAAAGCAACCAATCTGAGCCTGACACAGAATAACTGAAGAGCACATTTAGATACTTCCTTGCTTATGCAGAAGAGTACTGGAGACTACTGAAACCATTTGATGTCTTTCTGGAAAAGAATCCTGTTCAGAGGAAATAGGAAGATGAACTCTAGAAAGCAAAACAAAATCTGAGTTAAGGCGGTATAAAATATTATGGAATCATTGGCTAAAGCTGAATGTTAAAACTGTATTTCAGCTATGGTAGAAGTTTACAGGTGAATTACTGAGGTTGGTAGATAGTCTGAATGTCAAGGATTGCTCAGATACAAGGCTACTGCAGGAGTACTGTTGTCTGTCCGTTAGTGTTCATGGCAGGGGGGGATCAAGAAAGCTGCTACATCAGTACCATTCTTTCCAAGAGATTAGCCTGGAAAGCTGCCTTAAATTGGAATGCCAATATAGAAAGCTTTTGAACAAATCAATACATTGAACAATAATAAATTGTTAGGACTAAATGGTATTTATGCAGGAGTTCTAAATGAGCTCAAATACAAGGCTGCGGAAAGCTTATTTCTGGTGTGTGATCTGTCACTTAAATCAGCCTCAGCACTAGAGTAATTCAGGGTTACAAATATGGCCCAACTTTCTGTAAAGGGTGCAGTTTAGGAGCTGCAAAACAGTGGTATTGTCTTTTGCTCTGTGTAAAGCAGTTGCAACCATAAGAAAGTCAGTCAGTGGACATGAGAAGGCCATTACCATATTTTGAAGCAGAGCTGCATCCCTGCAAGGATAGTATAGTTCTGCCTCTCCAGTCTCTCAGAATTCCTTGGAGTTTTTGGTGAACCTGAGCACTGCTCCAATCCATAGAGGATTGAATTTTCAGAAGCTTTAGCCAAGGTTGTGCTGCTTTTGTAACTTAGCTGTCTTCTTCTGGATTATGAGTGTTTCAGAGACAGCAGAGGACAAGAAGGTATCGTCTCTTTTCACAGTGAAGTTATATCACTACTGTGGTCACCAAGGGTCTGCACTGATCTGCTTATAAGTAAACCAGGCAAAGGGGTGAATAATGCCAGAGGGCAACACACAGGTATTCAGGGTGGAAAAAACTTAAACTGAAGAACTTAACGCTGAAAAATGGCAGAATGATCTTTTGATTCTTATTAAACAGGTGATAAAACAGGAGAAAAACCATTCAATCAAGTGCAAAGTGGTTGCGTGAGGCAAAATAGTATTAAACTAAGTATATGGGGGACTGGGCTTATATTAGCTACTGTTTTGTCAGAAACACATCCTATGGATAACATCAGCTCATTGCCCAACATGATTCTAATGGGCATAGAAAAGATTAGGGTTTCTTAGGCAAGAAACAGAGAAAACACACTAAGACCTTATTATAAATTTGCTAACTTTGCGCTCAGTGCACTGTATAGTTCTGGTCAACCAGTTTGAAAGCACTAAATTAGGGCAGAAACAACACAACAGGAGTCATTTTGAGATGCAAGAGAGTCTGGAAAACAGACAGCCTTGAGGGAACAGATGTCCATGGGATTATGAGTCATATAGAAATAGCGAACTGAGAATGATCTCTCACTGCTTCTTTCATTGCCCCTTAATTATTGCAATTAATAGACTGAGGTTTTTGCTTGTTTGTTTAACATTATCTAGTTAAACTGTGAAAGTTGTGAAGGGGCTGTAAGGATGAAGAAATTCAGAAAAGTAGTAGAATTCATGAAAGATAGCTTTAGAAAACCCTAAAATGATAATTTTTGGCAATTGAGAAGATTAACCAATGAAAAGCTACTTTAAAAATCTGCTTTTGCTTTTCTTTTTTCCATTTTTTTTTGGGATGGGGGCAGGTGGGGAACATTATTGGCCCTGGCCCTAGACAAGATCCTCGACTAGGTGGCTTTTTGAGGTGCAGTTAGCTCAAGATGGAGCTGTGTAAGTTGAAGTGTCTACCAGCAGGTTTCAGCAGTAGTGTTGGATATATAAACTCTTTTTAGCAGGAGAGCTTGATGGGTGATTTAGCCCACTATAGACATCCAGACTCACTTCACTTGCCTAGAATAATGTGCCTGGCTTCCAGCCATTCCTGTAAGGCACGAATCTCCTCTTCTGGGTCCAGTGTACTGTCTGCCAGCTCTGTATGGAGTCCTGTATTGTGTAAGGAACCCCAAGGAGCACTGGATGCTGACTGATACCCCAATGCCCAGTCAGCTGCATCCTGTGCTAAGCACTGTGGACTACTGACTGGATTTCCATCAGCTATAATGAGTGTGTGGATACGTGCTTATAAATGTCCATTTATTCTGACTGAATCCCATGCTTGATCTGACCCTGTGTGACACTTACAAGTTCATTCACTATGGTCTTGTCTTTAGCATGATTAAATAGTGGTTTTATTTAGTGTACATATAGGTATGATCAATAATCTCTTGAACAATTGCCTCTGCATGTGTGTAACACCCACACTCACTCCAGAGCCCTGGGAGCCTTGCTGATGTGTTTGGAGTCGGAGTAGCCCCCAGTAGCTCATCTGCTGTGCTGGTCAGTGCAGTCACAGGAGAGTCATGAGTGTAGCGTTCCCTGTTGCTTGCTGCTAAAGCCCAGCATCTGGTCACTGGGAGGTTTTGTGACTTTAGGTACCTGTCTTCTGTAGTTAAAGATTCCCCTTGAAATTGTAAAGTTGCCCCCAATAGAAAATGATGGTTCCTTAAGGAGTTAAGAAAATACCATCGGCTTTTTAAAGGTAAAAGTTCTGCACAGTCTCTGAGAAGCTCTTAATTTGATAACTAATTGAAATAATCTAGATAAAAGTTGTGATATAGTAGCATTTTTTTCATGTCACAGTACTAACAGCTTTAAAACACTATTCTTAGTAACTTTACAATTCTGTTTTGTTTTTGAACAGGGACGAGGATGGTGAGCCCCGCATCTTTAAGAAAATTGCTGGAGTCTTGTAAAGATCTTTCTTTACTCGATGTGTCCTTCTGTTCGCAGATCGATAATAGAGTTGTGCTAGAACTGAATGCCAGCTTTCCTAATGTGTTCATAAAAAAGAGTTTCACCCAGTGACTCCCTACATATGCTGCTGTGGAACTCATTTGACAGAGTTGTTTCCTGTAAATTTGTGCTTTTTTAAAGAAGAATATAAATCTGCTGTGAAATAGTGGAAACTATTAATTATCTATACAAATGGGTAAAATACATTAAAATGTATTATGTTTCTTAAAGAGTTGATATTGTACCTAAGAATTATTTTACTCTGTGTTGATTGGTAACACTGCATGTTTTTAAATACCAGCCATATGTTTGGCTTTAATGAAAAGCAAATGAATGTCTTCTTAAATGTCCCTTCAAAGGGTGTTACACACAGTAAACTATGTTAATATCCAGGTGAAAGCAAACGTTCAATATTGAGCAGTAAGGAAAATATGGGTGCTTCCTTCTTATGTGTTTGTGTGTGTATATATAAATGTATACAGATGTATTTGTATATACATACACAGATATTGTAGCATTCTAGTTTGGCCTGCAGCATAAGATGCTGTGATCTGGCCTATAATTAGTTATTTGTTTTTCAAGCTGTTTAAGCTTGTATAGGAACAGATCAAAAAGGCACTTTGTCCTCTTCAGTTGTTTGGCAGTGATCTGTATCTGATACATTTTTCTCCCTTCCTCCACCTGAAGTAGATGTAGTGATGTTTTACAGTCCACCCTAAGCGACACAACAGATAAATGCAAGAACCTGAACCACCTGAACTTAGAGCAGAAGCAAAAGAGAAAATTGCCATCTGCTTCTTGGTATTGAGATAAAAAGTTTGAGCCAGGTACTTAATGTTGTAGCTGGTAATGTGTAGAAAACTCCAGCGTAGTTTTCTTTTTCAAATTTCTGACGTGGTCAAGACTTGATTTGTGATACATCTGCTTATTGTGCAGAGTACCATGAAAAGTAGAATTTAGGGTAATGCGTTAGCACTGTCCCTTACACTGGCATCAAATTTACTATCAGGAGTGAAAACAAGCATCGCTGTTCAGTAAAACAGCAATGAAAATATAATGGGTTTGAAACGGGCAATGTTGATCTGGTGATTTTTTAATCACCAAACCTCAGTGTTGGATTTGTTTTGTTTGGGGTTTTTTTTTTATTTTTGTTTTGTTTTTTGAAGAGATGGTAGCTCAAAGTACTATTGCACTCTCTCTTTAGCACTGCTTAGCCTCTGGAGAAGGAAAACTCTGCTGGTGGACAATTTCTAAAGGTTTCTTCCTTTTGCACTTTCTTGGATGAAGCTTTTCACTTTTTTTTTTTCTTTGAATAGCACCACTAGAATATGTCAGTATGTACAGCTTGAGTTTAGAATTTTGCCTTTTTGGCCATTGTTGATGAATATGGACCGTGAAATATAGCCTGTCATTTGATATTAGCTCTATTATCCTTGTATTGATGGCATTTATTGCCTACTGGACTAAGAAGAAAAATACTTTGTCTGGCAGAAGTACATTATTGTACTGAAGATCAGTTGCAAAGAACACTTCATTCATGCAGTAAATAACCAAACTGCTACTAGAGGACTGCTATGAATCATTAAAAATCTGACAATCTCTATGACTCCTGAATGACTGCTTTGATCTCTTTGTGCTGGTGCCAATACTTTATAAACCATGTCATGAAACAGCTACAGAACATTTATCTGATTTTTATTGAAAGACCTGTTTCTTCAAATTTTTAAATTTTGCTGACTCTTTGGGGAATTCCAGATCCAAAGAAGGACATGCACAGTTGGCTTTTTGATTTTTTTCCTCCCCACAGATGGCACTATGGGATTTCCAACTGGATTATACCATTCCATTTTTTTTCCTTTAGAAATCTAGGAGTTGTCAGAGAACTTTAGATTGATTTACTTTTCTTCCACACTGAAAGATGTCAACTTTGGTATGATTCTGTGTGAGATCTCATTTCTTTCAATTATGTTTGGGTTCATTTATTGTTCTTGGAACTTTTAAACTTTTTTTATCTGTAAGTAATATATTTGATTGTAATTGAATATTAAATGTTATTATTCTAGTTATAGGAGAACACAAGTTCAGATAATGGGAGTTTACAAAGAACAGTGTTTCCAAACAAATGTTTTTTGTTGTAAAATTTCACTTCTCAGGGGTGCATCTATGTTTATCTCCTTTTTTTCTGAAGAGATCCTTTTTGTTTGTTTTTCACTGTAAATAGAATGGGGTGTGGGTGAAATGATAGCCATTGTGCCTTCAAACTGGTCAACTTGGTGGATAATACAGTTTAAATTCTATGGCATCAGTGAATCAAATAAGTGGTTTTGTAGTCACGTATGTGTAAAGAATTTCATTCTCTGTTGCTTCTTAGGTAGCATGAAGGAGGTTTAAATTGATATTTTGTTCATACTGAAGTATTTTCTATTGTTTATGTCATGTTGTTTTTTTGAGGAATTCTCTTGTCACTTGAAAGATAAATTGAAGTCAACTTTTTATTTGGACTGTTTAAAACTTAGCTTTTGCCAACAAATAATTAATTCAAACAGCAGAGAAGTGATTGGGAGTGACTTCCATCTGTAGTTCTAGACTTCAGCCTTCAATCAGAGAGTAAGAAACTCTTTTAGCTATGGCCTTATAAGTCCCAAGAAGTCTTCCAGCAAAGAGAAGATAGACCAGACTACATTTGTAGTACTTGTAGGAATAAGGAAAACAACATGCTTTTAGACCTTCCTTATATGTCACAAAGAAGCAAGAACAGATCACTGTCTTTTTAGTTCTGCTATTTTGTACTTAAGTGGATCTACCTATTTATACACATGTATACATAAATTATATGTGTACACATGTATGTTCATGTGTATATATGAATTTTTTGGATGTGTGTACATACTTAAACATATATGTATAAATCTCAAAGTTTGTCATTTAGGAATTACTTTTGTGAAGTGTAATAGCAAAAAATGTTTCATAGCAATTCTACTTTCAACTGTTGTTTTACTGTACCTGGAGACTGAATTCCTCTCCACCCATGCAGCAGAAAAAGCCTGGACAAGAGATGTGCTGGATTTCCTATGTTGCTTTGCCAAAGTGCCTTTTGGTTTGTCTACACATGAAAGGTGTTACAGGGTATGAAGAGTGTGAATGCAAAGTCCGGTAACTACTGTGGACTGTCTCATTGTGAAGCAGTCATATAGCAGGAAATTTATATTCTAGTTTCATTTAATCCAAAATGAATGATGGCAATTCCTCCATTGGAGGAATTTAATTATTCTTGAATTGTATTGTCATCTCCATCACTAGACCATCCCTCAGTCACATTATCTAAATTTTGCTTTAAAGGATATTCTTTTTGTTTAATCTTGTCCTTTGATCTCGTCTGTCTTTCTGAAGCTTTGTAAAAGATGTGCTTTGGCAACCAGTGTTAAAAAACCATGGCTCACGTGTCCAAAAAAAGAGGTTTGCTCTGAACTGCTACTGCTCTCCCACTAGAAGGGGGCTTCCATACCATCTATGAAATTGATGCAGGATGGCATGTAGGTAAATATGTAATTCCTTTGGTAATTTTAAAAACTAGTATGATACCTTTATCGTTTAAAGCCTCTTCTCTTCAAGGCTTCAATTCAATAGTGAACTTACTTGTATTCATAATTCTGAACTGTCTGGCTAGATAGCTCTATTGAAATGGATAGGAATTCTGTTCTTTAAATTATACACCTGATTAAGTACATTAGTGAGCACGACTTATATAGAACAGTTTTGCATAGGAGTTTGGACCTTATAATCTCCATGTACTTGGAGGTCCAAATTGCAGACCAAAAAAACCCCAAAACCAACCGACAGAAACCACTAAAAAACTAGTATTTTCTGTCTGATTCTTTCCTTAGAGCTCCTATGCTAACTTTTCTAAATACAAGATGTCCAGTAATCATGGTACACGGTGAGTAGAATTCACCTCACTGAATGTTAGCTCTCTTAAAGTTAGGCATCTCCTTTACGGGAGGAATCTGGGCACCTCTAGAGAGATATTAATCACCCCCTAAGATAGATATTTAAGGAAAGTAGAATTAATCATGTTCTGGAGAGCCTCTCTGGAGACTGTGGAATCTGTAATTTAGCTCAGGACAGATACTAAACTGAGATTAATTCTATCCAGTGCTGTACTAGCTGTCTTGAAAAACAAGCCTGAAACAACATCCATCCCCAAACCTTAAAATCTTTCAAATTCCATCCAGAAAGAAGCAAATTAAAGAAATTCTGACAACTTAAAAGCTATAATCTTCTTCTGCCCCTTGCCAATGCCTGTGGTATGTCTTTCGGGGTTTTTTTGTCGGGTTTTGGGGTGGTTTTTTTTTTTTTTTTTAGAAATGCATCCCCTTTCCCACTTCTGAAATCTCATGTACCTAACTGTCTATATGTATAGTTCTGTAAATGCATGAAAGTAACAGGCAAATGTAATTGATATATTGCCACTATTTTGATATTCTTTCATATTGCTATAATTAAGACTGAGTAGTTTAATTGCTCTGCTGTCATCAGAAATGTTACCCACTGTGCATTTGCAAAACTTGTGTGTAGAGTCCTGCTTCTTACTGTGTGTACTGATTGCATTTTATGGGATATATTTCCCATTTACATCTGCAGGACTATTGCATTTTAAAAAACTAGATAAAATGTAGCACTTTATTATGAGGACTATGGGAGTGACTTTATATATATTGATTTATGTGTTCGTTATTAATCGTTCACAATGACTCCATAAGTTGTAGCTCTGAAATTACTTAGAAAATCCTGGTTTAGTGCATCTGAATTTACTGTGTTAGACACAGTCAACATTTTTTCCCAAATGAAGGCATTTGTCCTTCACTGAGATGATGATTTCTGTGATTTTTAGATTTCTGACTTGAAAATGAAATGCCAGAAGGTGCTCTTTATTAAATATTACCGGGCATGGGACAAATTGTGGTAACTGACATTAGGAAGGGATGAGAAATGAGTCTTGTGTGTTACAGATTCTCATGAGCTTCAAAGAAGGGCTCAGCAGGAGGTGGCTCTTTTTAAGAAGTTTCAGCCTCTGTACTAGCAGGCAGTGGTGAGATTTTCCTTTTTAGCTAGATGGACTAAGCAGTATTACTTTTGATGGAGTTATATAGCTATAGTTTCTCCTTGTCTTGTTTTCATTTAAGAATGATAAATGGCACGGTTAGGACAGATGTCCTAAATTGAAAGGGGTCCATTGTGAGGAATGAAGTTTTTCTCTTGCATGTTTTGTTCACCTTTTCTAAAAATAAACAAATAAAAATACCCTCAACTATTAGAAAACTCATTTTCATCGGTTACTGAGGTGATGCAAATGTCAAGAAAGTTGAGAAAAGAAAGAAAGGGGACTCAGCCAGATTTATCTGGAAACTAGTGGAAGGGTGGCCAGAGCTATTTACAGATGTCAGGAAAGTAAGTGCCTTGCTCCAGATCAGCTGTTATCTTTCCCAGAAACGTAGCTTCCCACATAATATCACATGTTCATACTTTTAAGTCAAGATCTAGCATTTAGAGGCTTTCATGTACGTATTTGTGCAGTAATTAATGATGTCTCTTTGTTTCATTTTTATGAACTACATAAAAATATTTTACTTTGCCTACGACTGCCCAGGCACATTTTATGTTAAAATCTGAAATGATTTTGTGCATATACACTCAGGTGCTTAATTGCTTAGGTTCTTTGCAATTGGTCCTTTTCTGAGGACAAATAAACTGCAGTTTGGAGGAAAAAATGTTAAAGTGAAGGCTCTAAAGAAGAGAAGGCCCAGGGGAAATCTGACCAATGTGTGGGAATACCTGATGGAGGGTGGGGAATGAAGAAGCGACAGCCAGATTCTTCTCAGTGATGCCTGTGGAAAGGACAAGAGGCAGTGGGCACAAACTGAAATACAGGAGTCTCTAACTTTACGCAAGATGACATATTGTGTGGTAAGGGTGACCAGGCCTTGGCACAGGTTGCCCACAGAAGTTGTGGAATCTCCATCCTTGGAGATACTCATCGTCGGGGACAACTGACTGTAGGTGGCCCTGCTTGAGCAGTTGGAGTCTGGACTAGTTGACCTCCAGAGGTCCCTTTCCAACCTCATACATTCTATCATTCTGTGATTCGAGACATGCCCTGTGGTTGTTTTGTTTGCTTCAGTGTACTGATTGCTGAAGAAGGTAGGGAGGGGAGAAAAGGAAGAATAGA